GTAGCTCAGTGGATTGAGCACGTGCCTGTGAACCAAAGGGTCGCTGGTTCAATTCCCAGTCAGGGCCCATGCCAAGTCCTGTTGCAGGCCAGGTCCCCAATAGGGGGCGCTCAAGAGGCAACCACACATTGATTTCTCTCCCTCTCTCCCTCCCTTCCCCTCTCTAAAAATAAATCAGTAAAGTCTTTTAAAAAAAATAAAAGAGCTGCACATTCTGGACTCCATTGCCTCCCAGGCTTCCATGCGCACGTCCACCGTCCCCCTAGACCTGCCCCCACACCGGGCCAGAGCCTCTGCTCACCCTCCCCAGCTTTTGGGCCCCAGGCCGCCTCAGTCCTTCCTCCTGAATGCTCTTCCTACCCCTTGACCATTGGCCTGAGCCTCGTGGCCTGTGCTGGCCACTGCAGCCACCCCTTGGTTGGTCCCTGTCCTTTACTCCTTCTGGCCCTTTGCTCTGTCCATGCTCCTTATACCATCCCATACCTAGAGGGAGCTTTCTAGAACTGCCTGGGCTGCCAGGGCTGCCGGCCCCTCCCGGCCCCTCCCAGCCTCGTCTCTCACGTCGGATTCCACCTGCCACATGCGTTTTAATTCCCCGCGTCTGGGTGACAAAACTATTCTTCATTTCCCTGAGATTAAAATTGAACTGGGTGTCCTATATTTTACCCGGAAACACTAGTGTCAGTACAAACACCTCAGACATCGTGAGGTTTTAGTAGAACTTTTCAGTTAAGTACATTTAAGTGTGATATTCGGGACAGATACCACACAATTATTCATTGTTTATCTGAAATTCAAATGGAAATGGGAACCTTGTATTTTTATTTGCTAAATCAGACAGCCTCGGTCCCACACACAGGGCAACTGCCAGGGGTCACACAGCACCAACCTGCACCCCGACACTTTGCCCTCTAGTCGGCCTGGAAGGCCCCTTTCCAGTCCATGGAAGGGGCTGCAGCCTAAGACCCCTGGGTGGGAGCTGCTCCACGCGCCACCCCCTCCCACATCCCCGTCTCTGCCCCCTGGGCCTCAGTTTCCTCCACTACAGAACCAGTGGTTTCTCTGCTGCCTCCCAGCCCCAGGGATCAGGGGCTTCTGTGAGAGCAGGACACGCCCAGAAGACAAACAGGCCGGGGCAGCTGAGCAGCCCTGCTTTGTCTCACTGAAGGACTTTGAGGAAGCAGGACAAAGGTCTTTTATTTTCCCGAGGCACCTTGCAAACCTGTTAAGCACCTCAGTCATAACTCAGGCAAGGATCATCAACAGATGCTAAAGCCATCGGATGAGTTTCCCAACGTATCCAAGCTCTCATGCCAGTGGGGAGACCTGCGGGGCGCCCGCCGTGGGAGGGCTCATCACCTGGCCTCTGGTCCAAGTCTCCGGATCAACAGAGACCAAAGAGACCTGCCCTGCCAACGTGACGCTTGACCTGGGATTAGAGCCTGAACCAGAAAAAAGGAATAGCCAGAAAGGAAGTCTGGGGCAGCTGGGGTGGGAGGAAAGCGGGCCGGGAATGAGGTCACGGCTGTGCCCGTGCTTGAAGTTCCTGAAATCGATCCTGGCACAGCGGTGGGCAGGAGAGTGGCCTTGGTCTCAGGGGGCACGTGGGGAAGAGCTTAGAGGTGAAGGGTCACACACTGCCGCTAACCCTCCCTAGTTCAGCAAAAGCAAACAGATTGACAGGGAGTCAGCGGGAGAGAGAGAGAGGTCAAATAGTAATTGCTGAATCTGAGAGTTCATTGTACTTTTCTTGCAACTTCTCTGTACAGGGCCATTTTTCCAAGTACAAAGTCTGAGGGAACACACACCCAGAGTAAACTATCAGAAGTACAAGTGTCTTAAAGTCCCTGCAGCCCCAACGCCCCTTCTTGGAGGAGGAGCCTGGGAACAGAGGGCCTTGGCCTTCAGTCACACAGTGGGTAGCAGCTGAACCTGCCCCACTTGGTTTGAGTCCCAAGAGCAAGCAGGAGCCAACTCCGCACCTTAGTCCCAGGTATCCTCCCGCCCTTAGGCCTACCCTCGGAGGCCGCCCTCCAATCCTGAGGGAGGTGAGCAGCCCCCAAGGGGCCCAGGAAAAAGCCTACTCCTCCCTCTCCAAAGAAACGGGACTGCCGCTCCCTCCAACTGCACTGCCCGCCATGCCGGAGGGGACACCCTGCCTTCCAAGGTGCAGGCGAGATAAGATAGGCAGAGAGGAGAGGGAGACCCAGAGCCCTGGCTGGTGTGGCTCCGGGGGGGTCAGCCTGGGACCTAAAGGTCGCCTTTTCAATTCCTCATCGGGGTACACGCGGGCCCTGTTGAGGGCTTGCAAGAGGCAACAGAGCCATGTTTCTCTCCCTCCCTCCCCCTCTGTCTGAAAAATAAAATCTTTAAAAAGAGGGAGGTCCAGAGAAAAGGGATCTCACTTGCTCTTGCAAGCAGGTCCAAAACCCAGGAAGAAGCCTGGGAGTTGAGGCCCAGATCAACAGCTGGGCAAAACAAAGGTCCCGGGGCCGGTCCCTCCCCAGGGCTAGGGACAGCGGTAAGACAGGATTGCTGGGCAAGGGACCAAGATGACTGGAGGGTGTGGCTGCAAGGGGTGTCCAGTGACACTGGAGTCGTGACACGCCAGAGCTCCTAAGCAACTGTCCAAGCACAGAAAACCCATCTCCAGTTTCGGCTTCTTTTTCGGCCTTTGTCCACTTCTGCACCATGTGTGGCCTCCCCAAGGGCATGTGTGGCCATGGACTGGGTCACACAGCCAAGCAGGAGCCAACCCCAGGACGAGGCCAGACCCGGTCACTTTCAAGGGAAGCTTCCAGGTATAACCAGGAGTGAAATCTCCTTTCGGGCTTTACTCGGTGAAATGTGTCAGTGGATTCAAGTGTAAACGCAGGCAGGATCTATTACAGCAAGAGCAATGTTGTGAACGATGCTAAATTTTAAGCACAGAAAAAATTATGAAGAAACTCACACAGATAAAGGAAAGAAATGGACAGTTAATATGATCTTAAGAGAGGCAGTAATAGCATACAGAACTTTGGGGGAAAACGATTTCCTTTTTGAGTCCACAATTACATGTAAGTTAACTGACAGTACAAGGCAGGAGACTAAATTTCATTCTAATTCTGATGCTTACATCCGTGATAACCATCAACCCAGGGGTAACAAGAACATGAGGAAAACCAGAGGGGATCGGGGCAACGAGGAGGCCTCCGCAGGCCAGGGCGCCTGCGCTGCGGCCGGCCTTAGCAGCAGCTGGCATGGGAAGCTACGGTCAGGTGTGCTGAAGTCAAGCTTTCTGATTTGTTTACTTCCTTTGAAATATTAGAATTGTGTGCCCTGGCAGGCGTGGTTCAGTTGTCTGAGCATGTCCTGCAAACCAAAAAGTCACTGACTCAGCTTCCCATCAGGGCACATGCCTGGGCTGAGGGTTTGGTGACTGCCTGCTGCTTGGGGTGTGTGCAAGAGGCAACTGATCAATGTTTCTCTCTCACATCGATGATTCTCTCCCTCCCTTCCCCTCTCTCTGGAATTTTTTAAAAAGATTTACTTATTTTTAGAGAGAGGGGAAGGTAGGGAGAAAGAGAGAGAGAGAGAAACATAGATTAATGTGTGGTAGATACATCATACGTAAATCAGTTGCCTCTTGCACGTCCCCAGCTGGGAATGTGGCCCATAACCCAGGCATGTGCCCTAACACAGAATTGAACCAGCGACCTTTAGACCCACAGGCTGGGGCTCAGTCCACTGAGCCACACCAGCCAGTGCTGGAATCAATTTTTTTAAAAAACTTTTTTAAAACTGTGATCATGAAAACTGAAATAATCCTACTGATCTGCTGCCTCATTTACCCTTGTGTACGATGGTAGCAGGTCCCTCTCCCAATCCCTCCCTCCATGCTGTCCCCAGTTCCCTTTCAAAGCCAGCAGTCGCTCCCCACTTGCCTAAATCCTCCAGGACTTCCCACGTTCCCCCACAGCCCAATTCCCCGCTGCCGCCCCTGGGAACCCCACAGTCTCACCTGACTTCACATCACAGCGCTGTGCCCCCCAGCTCTGGCCGCATGAGTCCTCTTGGTTTTGCTGACCCTGTGTCTGACCCCCCGTTTCCCACTTCCAGGCCCTCCCAGTTCCTTCTGCCCGGCCAGCATCCCATTGCAGGGACACATCGCCCACCGCAGGCTGGCTGGTCAGAGTACCCGGAACTCATATTTGGGTCCAAAACCATCGTTCTAGGAGGGTAAGGCCAGAGAGTACTTCTGGGGCCAACATGGGCAGAGGCAGAGAAGGTATCCACTGCCTGTTAAGTTCACTCATTCAGTAAGTATTAACTGAGCACCTACTACAAGCTGAGGACTTCAAAGCAGAGTCCAGCCCTGAGTCCAGCCCTCGCGGGGCCCATAGCACACTGGGATGGGTGAAGCTGGGGCCAGACCATCCCCCAGGGAACGGCAGGATGACTTCTGCTCACTTCTAAGTGTCAGAAGACCACAGGGGCTGCCTGAATAGGGGGTCAGGGCAGGTCTTGAGAGGAGGGAACAGGTGATGTGATACCCAACAATAAGCGAAGGTGGCCCGAGGCAGCTGGGGATAGTGCTCCTGAAAGGGAATGGCCTGTTCAAAGGCTTGGAGGTGGGACCGAGCTAAGCAGAGTTCCGCACAGGAATGACCCTGAGGCTCAGCCACGTGCCCAGCAGCACCATCTGGGACCAGGCCAGGCGAGGTGGGCCTGGGAGGCTACGGCGAAGTTTCCGGATTTTATTTTAGTTCCCATGGTGAAGGGGCGCCATCTTCCTCCCTTTACGTTGGCAAACAGGGCCCAGAGGAGGCCAGCGTCGCACCCTACACCGCAACGCAAGCAGGCGTGCAGCCCCGGACCCGCGGTGCGTCTCTGCCAGGCCGCCCACTCAACGTGCGCCCGGAGGCGGACGGGGCGGGTCCGCGCTTGGCCTCCTGTCCCCGAGCCCGGACTGGGCCCCGCTGGGTCCCGCCCTCCTCCACGGGTGACGCGAACGCGGGGCGGGCCCATCGCGCGGCGGCCCCTCTGTCTCGGCGGCGGCGGCGGCGGAGCGAGCGCAGCGCGGCGCCACCATGGGGGCCCAGTTGAGCACGGTAGGCGGCGAGGGGCGCCGGGCGCGGGGCTCGGCGTCACTGCGGACCGGCCGGCATCCGGACCTCGGGCTCCCGGGGTGCCGACTACGACCCGGCGGCGAGGGGCGGGGCGGCGGGGCGGCGGGGCCGAGGCGCGGGGGCGCGGCACCCCTCCCGGCCGGCCGCGCCCTGGCCCGCGGCGCCCCACCCGTCCCCACCCTGGCGTGGGCGTGCCGGTGGCCGCAGTGACTCACGCCCTGGCGTCCGGAGCGGAACCCAGCCCTCCTGCCCTGGGGAAGGGGGCGGCCTTGCCCGCCATCCTCATCCCTGCCTGTCCCGCGCATAGAGCCCGGTCCCGCGAATGGATCGGAGGAGTGCGTGCGCGTGAGAGAGAAATCTGTGATCCGGAAGTTTGTGTGTGACTGGGACAGTGTGCGTGATGTGTGACTTGTAATGTAACTTGTGAGAGTGAGCGTGCCTGAGCAAGTGTGAATGGAACGTGAAGGTGGATGTGAGTGTGAGCGTGTGTGAAAGTGAGTGCATGTGAGTGCGCGTGCACATGTGTGCGACTCTGTGGCTGTGTGAAGGGTGACTGGGTGGGAAGGGTGAGCATGGGTGTGAGACTGAGGGAGGCGGGGCGTGTGTGGCCGGCTGGGCGAGCGGCTGTGGGGAAGCGTGAATGTGGCTGGGTCGTCTGCGCGTGTGAATGGCGTTCTAGTGTGAGGGTGTGTGTGCCTGAGTATTTGTGAGAGTGTGTGTGATGTCGCTAGAGTGAAGGGATTTTAGCAGCCACCGCCCCTGGGCCCGTCTCCTGTTAACCCAGCCAAGCTCTGCAGTCGCCTGAGAGCGGCGAGAGGCCTGTGCTGTTGGCCGTTTTGCAGATGAACGTGGACGCAGACTTGGCCAGCGGCTTGTGGCAGAGCCCGAGTTTGTGGGCTCCGAAGTCCACTGTCCTGCTGTCACTTTTGGGTCAGCCCAGAGCTTCCTCCCCCTCCCCCCAGGCCCACCTCCTGTCTGGGATTTCTCAGAAGCCGCCCGTGTGGGGGTTGGGGGCTTGTGCTCCCGTGGAGACTGTACCCAGGGGGCAGCCCCCACCCAGGGTGCTGGCGGGGCGGGGGTCGGAGGCTGGCACTGGGAGGACTAGGCCTTGCACCTCCAGCCCCAGCCCGGGCGCCTTGGACTTGGAGGGCGCCTGCCTCCTCCCTCTGATGGTGAGGCTCCCTCGAACGAGGCCAAAGGCTGTTTGCTCAGGAATGAGTGGCCCAGTCCAGGGCTCTGGTCGTTCAGACCAAGGGGCAGCCTTGCCCATGGCAAACCTGCGCACCTCCTCCTCAGTGTAATGTCCTGACCGTGTTCCCAGAATTTGCCTTCCCCTGACCCCCAACCCCAAAGCACTTTCTCACCTTCCAGCCAGTGTCAGTTGGATCCCTTGCTGTTCCCAGAGTGTGGCTGTTCCACACCTTGTCAGCCAAGGCCCTGTGGCAGCCGCCGTGTGAGGGGCAGAGCCCCGTCTGGGAGTCAGGAGACCTCACCCGTCCAAGCATTGGTGGGAACTGCCCCTTCCTCGTGCGCCCTGCTGGCCTCCCGACTCGGCCCAGAATCCCCACAGCGGACCCCAGCCAGGTCACCCGGGGCAGCGGCTCCACGCAGTCTGCAGTGGGCCAGCTCGGGCGGCTTTGCCAGGCATCTTATCTGGAATGTGCAGGCTCTGAAGGAAGCCTCCTCCCACACTCCAGTGGGGCCGCACCGAGGGGTTGGGACTTGAGCCTGCCTACCTGGGGGGAACATTGGGGACGGTGATCCCTCGGCCCCCAGCGCAGCTGCGAGTGCTCTGTGGACCCACCACCACAGGTAGGGTGCAAGGCTTCCCACGGCCCCGGGCACCCTAGACCTCTTCTGTGGCCCCGGGGAAGCAGGGCGCCCTGTAGAGGGCGACTGCTGTCCACCTGCCCCTCCTGGGTCCCCTTCTGCAGTTGCAAGCTGGGAGCTCCTGCCCCCCGCCCTTGCAGAACTTCCTCCACTCCCTCCCACTTCCTAAAAAGGGGACCAGGAGGGAGGTGACCACACACACCCCGGCGGGACAGCTGGCAAGCAGGCAGGTGAGCTTCAGTGCAGGGAGCCGACACCTGGGGAGGCCCGGACCTGCCAGGTGGGGGTCCTGGCACATCCTTCTGCTCACCCCGACCTGACCTGGGCAGAGTGGATGCCAGGATCCCAGCGGGGAATTCCTGGGGGAAACAGCTGGGCAGGACACCCTGTAGCCGGGAGCAGGGCCCCCGGCTCCTCAGGTATGGTGGGTGAGCCAGGGACATCCAGGGCCTCTGGCACCCCATTGCCCTACCTACCCCCCGTGTTATCTGAGATGAGGAAGGGCAGATTGCGGTGGGGGGGAGGTTGGTCCCTGATGGGGCAGAGCCCAGCCTGCAGAGCCTCAGGTCAAGGCCTAGGAGGCAGCCGTTTCCCAGACCCCCAGATGGGTGGGGGTATATGTGTGTGTATGTGTGTGTAGGCCTGTGTTTACTTGTACATACATGTGTTTACATGTACGAGCGGCATGGTGAGGAGGAGCTGGCAGGGAGGCCTCGGCCTCGGCCATCTGCCTCCTGCTTCCTCTGCCTGCGGCTTGCAGGGGTGGGGGTTGCTGTGGACAGGAGGGGGCTCAGCGCTGCTCCTCCCCCAAGCCATGGGCACAGCCTCTGTACCCCTTGTGCATCTGGTAAAGCCTCCGACTCTGGAGACCAAGCCTTCGCCCCTCCACAGCACCCCTTTCTTCGCCCGTGTCCCCCCACTGGCCTGAGCTGCTCAGGGGTGGGGTCCCCAGGCCAGTGTCCCCCAAGCCCAACACAGGCCCTGGCAGGTGTGCCCACAGGCACGGGTGGCCTGAAGAACTGAGGGCCTGCCCACAGCTGCCTCCTGGGATAGGAATTTGTGGGCATACGAAGTCCTCCTCTGCCCTCTCGACAGCCAGGCAGTGCCCATGGGCGCAGAAAGGCCGCGTGGATCGGGGCCCGGTGCACGGACTCGAGCCAGACACCTGGACTCCAATCCTGACCCTCGGGATTGCCGCCCAAGCCTCAGTGTCCTCACCTGGCACAGTGGTTGTAATAGCTCCGCCACCCGGGGTTGCGGGTGACTGGCCCTGCAGAGCCCCCCGTTGTGGGGGGAGGGGACTGACATTTGCCAGCTGCCCAGCAGTGGCCCCCGTCCCACCAGGGCTCTGGGAGGTAGGTTTGCCTGGCAGGTGAGGACACAGCCAGGGAGCAAGGGCCCTAGGCGCCTGGCCTGTGCTCCCCGGACGGATGGCCATGGGTTTTTAAGATAGTGTGCACTATGTGCGCCCCGCCCTCCCCAAGCGGTCTGGCCTCTTGCCCTTGTTCTTGAAACTTCCAGACAAGTCAGAGAGAGGCTGGGGGGTAGGGCTTGTTGTCCCCTCGCATGTTTACCCACAAATAATCATTGAGCGTCCCTGCTCTGAGCCCTGGGGACACACTGGTGGGGAGACACACAGGTCCCCTGCCCTTCTGGGCTGATGCCACAGGGTCTGCTGTTGTGTGGTGACTGTGACCGTGCACACGGGGAGCTGGCCCCGCTGTCTGCCCAGGGCTGGCATCCAGGGCGTGCGAGGCTGGCGCCTGGGGTCCAGAAGGGCTGTGCAAGGGCCGAGACCCGTGTGCGGGACCTGCCCTCGGAGCTGTTGACATAAGAACCTGTCTCAAGGCCCAGCACTTAGCACAGGCCAGCGTTTGTGGGCTTGGGGCAGTCAAGAAATGTGGGGTGAGCGACCGACAATCGAGAACCAAAGCTCAGGATCCACCCCGGGTCTCCCTGAACCTCAGTTTCCCCATTTGTCGAGTGAAGAACGCAGTTGGCCTGTCTCCCATTACTGTGGGTCAGTGAAGAAATGCAAGGGAAGGTGCCTTGCAGACAGAAGCAACTGCAGGCCGAAGGGTCTTTGGTTATTGAACTTGGCTGTGCACTTAAACAGCTGTGCTGGGGGAAGAGTAATCTCCTGGGAGCACCATACACAGCCCCAGTTGGTTCTCAGTGTCATCTAAGTTCATTTCCAGGGCTCCCAACAATGGTGATTTCCTGCGAATGTTACTTCACTCAGTGTTTTCCTAAACAATGTTCCCCATGGATGTGGCTTCTCATATTGACCTGGGAATGGCTCAGAGCAGACTGGTCCTCATCCGCAGGGCACTCACAGAGAGGAGCGGAGGCTGTGGAAGGCTGCCGACCCCCGGCCGGACTAGCTAGCGAGTGCCCGTCAGGGAAGAGTTGACATTTGAGCTGGCCTCTGGGTGATGAAGAGGAGTTCGCGGGTTGGGAGGCAGGGTTTCGGGTTGCAGTGGGCGGGGGGCGCTGGGCACAGAGAGGGCGGGTCGGGAAGAGGTCTCTTTGAGCTTGACAGGCCTGGGGTTGCGTCCTGGCTCCAGACCGACTTGTTGCGTGACCATGGGCAAGTCGCTCGGTCTCTGAGCAACAGGGACAACGCTGTCACTTGCCGTGAGTGTGGTCCTCTGAGGACTGGCTTTGGTGTGACTGGGACAAGTTATTGATCCTCTCTGGGCCTCAGTGTCCTCACAGCACCTATGGCCTGGGGTTGAAGTGAGGATTATCCCGTTTCATACCTGGGGCATTGTACCTTGGGGACATTGGCCATGTTTGCTCTGTGCATGGCCTTTCCCCGCCTCGTTTCCTCCCCAGCTGTCCATGGGAGCCTCCTCACACACTTGAGGAAGGTAGGGACTGGAGAGGCAGTTTCTCTCCCGAAGTCCTGAGCTGGGGCCCACCCCCCGAGTCCAGGGCTGCAAGCCAGGGCCTTAAATAAGACCTGGGTGGGGCGAAGCCCCACATGATACCCAGACACGGTAGGTGCTGGTTAAAGGGGCAGGTGGCCCGGGGTAGGCTGCCAGCCTTCCCCTTCGACCCTTCCGTCACCGACCAGGGGCCCCGTGGGGCAAGGCCTCAGCTGCACCCAGCCAGGGAGAGACGCCCATTGTTCTGAGCCCAACAAAGGGCCTGTCACCTCAGCCGCAGCCAGGCACCTGGAAGTCACTGGGCTGGTTTTGGGGGCTGGGCGCCAGGCCGGTTGCGGGATCTTGGTGGCTCTGCCCTCCCTTCACTTGGGCGTTCCAACTCCCCAGTGGTACGGGCCCCGTGAGGGAGGCAGGAAAAGCTCCTGTGTGTGTACCCACAATTCCCAGGTTATAGAGCCACCACCGCCATCTCATATTCCAGCTCCCCGCACCCAGGAGGCGGGTGGGGTAGTGGCTCTCACCTTCCTCCTACAGAAGAGAACGCCCAGGCTCAGAGAGGCCTGCCTGGCTTGGTGGAGAGTGGGGAGGTCCCCCAGGAAGAGGGGGGCAGTAGGGCTCGGCCTTGAGAGGTGAAGGTCACCTCGCCCAGCCCTGCACAGGGCAGGGACCGCCTCCACGGCTGTGTTCTGCAGAATGCGCTACTTCAAGAGCCCCGCCAAGGAAGCAGAGAGGCTCCCATGGAAGCAAGGAACGTAGCTGTAAGCTTCCTGGCAGCCAAGGCAAAAAAGGGGAACTTGCAGGGTTAGGATAAGAAGAACACACACAGTCGTTCGCTGAGGGAACTGAAGTCGGGGAGGTATCCCAGGGAGGGGGAGTGAACAGCTGTGAAACAGATTTGAGAACCACTGTTTTGTGGGAACCTTTGCGTCTCAACCTCACTCTTTGGTACGCCAGCCCCCACTTTTTATTTTGAAATAATTTCAAGCTTATGGTCAAGTTGCAAGACTATATAAAGTGTTCTTGCACACTCTTCATCCAAATGTTAACACTGACTATATTTGCTTTATTTGTGTGTGTGTATATGTTTTTTAACTATTTGAGAACATTATAGATATGATGCCCCTTGGCCCCTAAACAATTCAATGTCTTTCTCCTGAGAACAGGGACATCCTCTTGCCTTGCCACAGGGCAGTGAGCGAATCACGGAAGTAACGTGGATACAATGTCAACATCTGTTCAGGGCCAAATTCATACTTCACCACGGTCTCAGTATTGTCCTTCGTAACTTTTTTCCCTCCTGGGCCAAGATCTCATCCAAAACCACAGCCCACTTTCAGTTGTTGGCGTCATTATTCGTTACCTAGGGCTGCATGAAAATGATCCCAAAGTAGGTGCATAAAACAACAGAAATTTATCCTCTCAACGTTCTGCAGGCCAGAAGTCTGCAGAAGCCCAAGTGTGGACAGGGCTGCGCTCTCCGGAGGCCCCGGGGCGCCCTCCCTGCCTCTTCCCGCTCCCCTCGAGGCTGTTGGCAGCCTCAGCTCCCTTGGCTTGTGGCCACATCGCTCCGGTCCGCCTCCGTCTTTGCGTGGCTGTCTCTGAGTTTCCTTTCTCTTGTGTGGACAGTTGTCATGGGATTTAGGGCTCACTGGGATAATCCAAGGTGACCCTGAGTTTAATCACATGTGCAAAGACCCTTTTTCCAGATGTCACATTCCCAGGACCTGGGTGGACATACCTTCTGGGGGCTGCCATTCAGCCACTCAGAGCCTCCGTTAGTGTGGACCAGCTTCTCGGACTTTTCTTTGTTGTTTGCGGCATGGACGTTTTGAAGAGTCTTGGTCAGTTATTCCGGGGAACGGCCCTCCCTGTTTCCTCGTGGTTGGAGGCAGGTTGTGTGCCCCTGAAGGAAGCCCACGGGGCAGCGGCGGGCCCTTCTTACGCTGCGTCAGGAGGCGCCCGATATCTGGCCCGTCTCCTGTGGAGCTCGCTAGTTAGAGCGCCTGCCTGCCAGGTTCTGCACTGCAGGTGTGAGCTGTCTTGAGGCCTTCCTGGTTTTCTCCCCGAGTCTCGCTTGTCGTCCAGAGAGCCGAGGCTGCTCAGGTCCTGGCTTCCAGGTGGCCCTGTGGGGTCGAGGGCCTGCCTGGGGACCAGGCCTGGGTAAGGCATCTTCCATGGCTTATTTCCATCTTCGCAATCCAGGAGTATGGCTTATGGTCCCCATTTCACACATGGAGAAACTGAGCTCAGAAGGCTCCGTGATCCGCCCAGGGCCAGACAGCTGGAAAGGGCAGGAGGCCTGTCGCCTGTCTTTGCCAAGGGGCTCCCTCCTGGTCACTCTGAGCAATGAGCTATCCTGCCATGGATTGTGGGTTTTCTCTGTTATAGAAAAATCCAAACCACCCCTTAGGGTCCGCGCGAGACTGAGCTGTTGGGGGGCAGGGCGTGGCAAGGAGGAGGCTCTCTGGCCACGCAAGAGCCTGAGCGAGGGCCGGAAGTTGCAGTGTGTCATTGCGGAGGCAGGTGGCCTCAGGTGGCTGTGGTGGGTTGCTTCACTTCTCTGAACTTGTTCCGCCTGTAAGATGCTGGTGAAGACACTCAGGATCTCAGGGTTGTCATGGGGTAACGCAGGGGCAGGGCCCAGCCTGGTGCCAAGCAGCTGCAGAGTAAGGCCCTGATGGGCTCCCGGGTCTGGGTTTTGTAACGTCTCCCAGCCAGTTCCCTGCCTGAGGATGGTGAGAAGAGGGCGTTCCCGACAGAGGGGACAGCAGGACAGGGGCACGAAGCTGTCCACCGCAGGGTGCGTTGGAGGGAAGGGCAGGCGACGGCCCCTCCCCGTGCCCGCGCTGACCTGGCGGGTCTGTCCCTGTCGTTTCAGTTGGGCCACGTGGTCCTCTCCCCAGTCTGGTTCCTCTACAACCTGCTCATGAAGATGTTCCAGCGCTCCACCCCGGCCATCACCCTCGAGAGCCCGGACATCAAGTACCCGCTGCGGCTCATTGACAAGGAGGTGAGTGCCGGCCTTGCGGGGGTCGCCGTGCGCGGCCCCCGGGGCGCCTCTCTCCTTGTCAGCACCACAGCCGTTCCCAGTCGCCTCCTGAGTGCGCAGGGCACGGCCCCTCTGATGTAGGTCCTGTTATCTGCCCCTGTAACAGACAGGAAAAGCAAGGAGATGTCCGTTTCTATGGCTGCCAGTAAGCGGCAGAGATTTGAACCCAGGTCTCTGGCCACAGAGCGCATTCTCTGAACCACACTCACTATCCCACAGGAGGTCCGAGGGGGAGGGGCTCCTCAGGACTTTTGGGTCCAGGCGCCCATTTAATAAATGGGAACACAGGGCGACGGTGGGGGGCGGAATTTAGGTCACACCGTAAGGTAGAGGGAGAGCCAGGGCCCAGGCTCAGGCCTCCCAGGGGCCTTGGGTGCTTCGAACTGCACTGTCCCTTCCTTGAAGGCAAGGGCTCCTCCCCTCCTTTCCGCTCCCAGGGGCCTCAGCGCAGGGCCTGGCGCCTGCTGCCTCTGAGCTGCCTCCCTGCACCGTCCCCTGTTCTCACAGGGCGGCTCCATGTGCCCCTCCCAGAGGCTCGCTCCTGCCGCCTTGTGTGACATTTCCCTTTTCAACCTTCTGATCCTCATTAAGAACCATCCCCTCCCTCCTTTGCCCTGTGCCCCTTACTTTCCCCTATCAAAGCCTCTCCCTGGTGCTATTTCTGGTCACCTGCAGCTACCCCAGGAAGGGTGTTACAGGGGAAACTGAGTCATGGAGCACAGAAAGTCACCTGCCCTGGTCTCCACCCAAGTCTCAAATCTCCCCAGCACAGAGCTGGGCCCCTGCGGCTGATGGGTGTGTGTCTGTAATCATACCAGGAGCTCGTAGGAGGGTTGAAAACCAGAGAGAGGCAAAAAAAAAAAAAAAAAAAAAACCCAAAGAACAAAAACTCACTTTCTTCCAGATGAGATCACGCTTATTCTTTAGATATGTTTTAGGCACAATTTTTTCTAACTAAAATGAACCCATTGCCCTGGCTGGTGTCCTGCGAACCAAAGGGTCACCAGTGTGAGTCACAGCCAGGGCACAGCATGGATTGCGGGCTAGGTCCCCAGTCGGGGGGTGTGCAAGAGGCGACCAACCAATCGGTGTTTCTCTCCTCTTTCTCCATCCCTTCCCCTCTCTCTGAAAATAAATAAATAAATGAAATCATAAGGGTTTTTGTTTTGGGGGGGTTTTAAAAAAGTTTATTTATTCTTTTCTAGAGAGAGGGGAAGGGAGGGAAAAAGAGGAGAGAAGCGTTCACTTTGCGGGACGATGCCCGACCCACGGGGCCACGCAGGTCAGGGGTGCTTTTGATACTTCCGCTGTGCTCCGCCGCGGGCGGGGGGAGGGCCCCTGCGGCCTGCCCTTCTCTCTGAACTGGATGGGGCCCGGGGACGGCAAGGTCGCCCGAATCGCGGAGAGTCAGTCTAGTGCTCAGACCATCACAGCGAGCGGCCTCCTGGATCCAGCCCCAGGCGGAGCCAGGCACAGATCTAGCCTCCTGATGCCGCTTTGGTCGGCACGGTCATTATCAGTGTCTTTCCCTGACTTCTGTTTTCCTCCCCAAAACTGCCTGGCTTGTGGGTTTCTGACCTTGAACTCAGGACCGGTCCATCATCCTGGAATCTGCTCCCAGAAGCCTTCGGGCTCTGTTGCCCAAAGTGCAGAGGCTTCCAGGGGAGGCAGCTTTGGGCCTGAGCTGCTGGATGAGAGAGACCCGCCGGCCGCCAGCAAGGCCTTGTCCGAGTGGTGGCCGGACGCCGTCTTTCCTGAGGTCCAGGCCACCGCTTCTGCTCACACCCTTCAGTGATGAGCAGTGCGCTGCGCTGTTCTTTGGAGAAGTCTGTGTCCCCGCCACCCTCTTCCGAGTGAGAACTCTGTCTCTGTCGTGGACCTTGCCGTGTGACCTAGCCTCGTCTGAACATGTGCTGGACACGTACCTGTCCTCCAAACCGTCCCTCCGCGCCCGCCCTCCTGGCCGACCCCCTGGCCGCCTGCTGGAGCCCCGGTCAGGAGTCAGGGTGCCGGGCTGGGTTCCCAGCTCTGACCACAGCTTGCCTGGCCTCGGTTTAAGGCCACTCAGAGGGGTTTCTGGGGCTTTAAGTCTGCCTTCTCCCTCTTTGCCAGCCTCTGCCCCAGCCTTGGAGGGGAAATGGCTGCCACCCTCCCGCCCACAGACCCGGGCGGTGAGGCCACCCTGCGCCCTGCCCTCTGCTGCCATCCGCAGCTGCCCTGGTGCTTGGGTGGCTCTGAGCGGAGCGGTTTCTAGAACCCCTCTCTTGAACATAGGCCCGGGCCCGCAGGACCTTGTCTCAGCCCTGCCCCCAGTTTGCCAGTCCGGTCCCTGGGTTCCTCCTGCCACCCCAGGACGTTGCCCCTGGAATTTTCTGGGCCATCTGGCAGCCTCCCTTTGGGATCCTGAGTTCACTTCCTGCTCTGCCAGTCTTGCTGTGTGGCCCAGGGCGCGTCGCTGCCCTCCTGGGGGCCGGGGAGAGCAGAGTCATACCCAGCGTGAGCCTGACCTGTCCACGCACATGTTGGTGCAGGTTTTGGGTCCACATGTGACAGCATCAGTGTCTCTTCTCTCAGTGACTTGGGCCCCCTGGGGAGGGTGGGGACTCTGAGGTCTGGCGGCCCCTCTGCCCTGGGTGCCATCCAACAGCTCTGGGCCTCTTCGTAGGTCATCAGCCATGACACGCGGCGGTTCCGCTTTGCCCTGCCGTCACCCCAGCATGTCCTGGGCCTCCCTGTTGGTAAGTGTGGCCCCAGCCCAGCCTGAACGGAGGCGCGTGCTGGTCAGAGAGGGGGGAGCTTAGCACTTCAACTAGGGAGATCAGGGAAGGCTTCAAGGAGGAGGTGACAGGTGCCGTGGGCCTTCAAGGCTGAGTGTCAGAATGAGAGAGGAAATGCCCTGGTGTCCTTGGCGGTGGCACCGGCACAAGTGATGGTGTGGTGGCAGGAAGCTAGGACGTGATGGGAATCGCTGACGGGGGCGGGGGGAGCCAAGTCAGGGCGAGGCAGGGCAGGCTTTGGGTGCTGCGGGGCGGGTGTAGGGCAGTGGGTGGCCAAGACGCAGCAGCCCCTGCTGGGATGGTCCCTGACCCAGGGTCCCCTCCCCGCATCCTGCAGGCCAGCACATCTACCTCTCGGCTCGAATCGACGGAAACCTGGTCATCCGGCCCTACACGCCCGTCTCCAGTGACGACGACAAGGGCTTCGTGGACCTGGTCATCAAGGTGAGGTGTTGGGGCCACAGCCACGTGGGGACAAGTGTGGGGATGACCCCTTCATAGCCGAGGCCTCCAGGGGGCCCCTGTTCCCCGCAGCCTGGTCTCTGAAGGCCCGGCGCTTCCTAGGCCTGGTGTCTGAGTGAACAGCCATTTGTACTTTGTCAGCAAAAGCCACGTGTGGAGGTCTCGGCAGAGGGCAGGGGCTGGGGCCCAGGCTAAGCGTCTTCACACAGGGCAGGTCACCTGCAGAAGGGGGACCAGGGAGGCCGACCGCTGGTGCCTGCACGGTGGCCGGGGCGCCTGGTCCACCGCGTTCAGTCTCACGAGCTCTGTGACCAGCAGGGCCCTTCCTGGGCACATTTCCTGAGGAACGTGCCACAGACGTGTTAGGGGTGCGGTGTGAGGAGCTCGCGGGGCATTGTCCGGGGTGCTGAGGCGAGGGGGTGTGCTGGGGGGACGACACGGCCATTAGAGGCAGCAGACCAGGGAGGCACAGAGCACCCAGCCAGGGTCTTGGAAACATTGCGCTGAATGGGAAGAGAAGCGCCGACTGTGCCCCGGGCCATTTTCACAACCGTCGGGAACACAGACTCCACAGTCGCGAACCCCCTTCTCTGATGGCACGTCCAACAGATGTGGACCCGCCCAGGCTGGTGGGCGTGGGGTTGTTAGAGACCATCCCCAGTCAGGGCCCAGAGCCCCACGGCCACCCTGGCTCAGCACCCCGGGGCCCAGGGTTACTGTCTGAACTCCGCTGTGTGCGCCCCTGGGGGCCCCTCCCTGCCTGTTCGCAGGTGGCAGGACCGAGGCTGAGCCCCCGCTGGGTCCTGGGCAGGCACTGGGTCTGTGAGGGCAGGAAGGGAGCTTGGCCTGTGGGTCCTGGGTCCCTTCCCAGCCTAGTGTCATTTAGACCCTTTGCGGGGTGCCCAGGCCTGGTCGCGGGGCCCTGTCTCAGCTGGAGAGCTGTCAGTGAACGTGTGATCCAGCGGAGGTCAGTGCTTACTCCAGGGGACGGGCACATGGCACTGAGCATCTGGAACAGGCCCCAGACCTGGGGCGGGAGCAGGGTGGTGACGAGAGCTGCTCCCCGATTGGGCAGCAGCGAGGTGAGGGCTGGCAGCTGAGGAGGCAGAAACTGGGTGAAGAGGGAGGAAGAGGATTTTCAGGTGCAAAGGCCCTGCGGTCAGAAGGAAGCACAAGGCCTAAAGCAGCCACAGGGTGGTGGATCAGGGTCAGGGTGGGTCAGCAGGGCCAGGCAGGGCCTCGGAGGCCCTGGTAAGGTTTGGGGCTTTGTCCAGAAGCAAAGGGAAGGAGGTGAGGGTTCGGGCATCCGTCCTCACTGACACCACACCAGCTGGGTGTGGAGCTGTCGGAGAGATTCAAGTAGAGGATAAAAAGCCCAGCACAACCAGGCCCCTCCCGGCTTGGAGACCTCGCTGGCTGCAGTTGGCTCCTGATAAAGGTCAGAATCCTGGCCTGGCACACAGTGTGCTCTGACCTTCCTTCTTCCCCCGTACTCCCTGTCCCCATCCCCTTCCACACAGACACCTCCCCGAACTGCAGCCCCATCGAGTGGCCCGCCCTCCCCTGGTGCACAGCCCTTCCGGCTGCCTGGCTGTGGTCGCCCTCCTCGATCCTCCCCTGTCGTCTTTCCCCTTCTCTGCCCACGCTCCTGCTGGCCCTTCAAGGCCGTGAAAATGCCCCCCGGGGGCCTTCCCAGCCCTGGGCTGGGTGAGAGGCTGCTCCTCTGTCTCCCCATCTCTTTCTCAGAGGGTTGTAGCACTTCCTTCTTTCCAAGCTGAAATCCCCGAGGACAGAGGGCAGGAAATTGTTCTAAGAGCCATGTTTCTATGACAGCATTAAATGGGAAGAACTGAACATCCACCGGGAGGGCGTGGCCGGCCAACTTCCCGGAGCCCTCAGCTTTGCTCTGCTGACAGCTGTCAGCTCCTCCCAGCCGGAAGGGGTCAGAGAGGGAGGGTTCTTGGTGGAGCATTAATGCATCAAATCAAGCCATAGGGTTTCCTTGTATGCACCATGTTGACACATTGCATTCCAAGGATACGTTACTGGGAGGGCAGACTCCTGGGGGTATGGGGCACCGAGGGGTAAGATTTGATGGGTAGACGGGGCACTGTGTGAGAAGGCCACACACAGGCTGCAGAAGAGCCCCTAAGAGTCACTTCCCCTTGTACCCAGAGCTCACCCCAACAACCCTAGGAACAGGGGACGAAGGACTGTGGGTGTGTCTTGCAGGTTTACTTCAAAGACACCCATCCCAAGTTTCCCGCAGGAGGGAAGATGTCCCAGTACCTGGAAAGCATGAAGATTGGAGACACCATTGAGTTCCGGGGCCCGAACGGGCTGCTGGTCTATCAGGGCAAAGGTGAGTCGGGTCGGAATCCTCCGAGGACCTAGCAGGCCGCTGAATGCTGAGTGCAGGATCGGACGCTGCTGCTGTCTGGGTGGGCGACTCTTTTTGGGCAGGCTGTCTCCCCTCGGGGGTCCCAGTTTCCCCAGCTGTATGGGGGGTAAGTTGGCTGGCGCAGGGATTGCAGGCTGGCTGCCTTTGGGGGCCCCACGCAGCCCACAGACCAGCCTCATTTGGCTGAAAATGAGTGGGAAGAAGGGCTGTGCGGGAAGCCCCCGCCGTGCACCAGCATGTGCACCGCTCCCCACGCCGTCTGCATGAGAAATGCATCCTGCGTCCCTCTGGCATCTGAGTTGGTCCTGGTATCCCACCATCCTCTCCCTCACCCTAACCAGCTGGGATTGCCGCCTGCATCTTGGACCCCCAAGCGGAGCAGGCTCTCCAGCCCATCCGACCCCCAAACACAGGGCCTCGCCCCGCTTCCTTTCCCCAGGAAAGTTTGCCATCCGTCCAGACAAGAAATCCAACCCAGCCACCAAGACGGTGAAGTGTGTGGGCATGATCGCAGGAGGAACAGGTGTGTGGACCCGGGTCTCCCGGGTCCCTGGAAGGCGGCGGTGTGGGTGGGTGTCCGGGCATGGGACGGGCACGGATACGAGCCGTTGTGAGCTGCCCGAGGTCGGGGGCCGGCCCGGCACCGGGCCTGTGTGTACACAGCAGGCGCTCACTCTGCCTGCGGGGGCTGCTGTTTTGCAGGCATCACTCCGATGCTGCAGGTGATTCGCGCCATCATGAAGGACCCAGACGACCACACCGTGTGCCACCTGCTCTTTGCCAACCAGGTCAGTGGACGTTCCAAGACATACAGACCCGGCTCCTGCTGACAGGGGACGCGGGGCCTGGTGAGATGTCCAGGGCCGTGCACGACTCTGTGGGGACGCTCGGGCAGCCGGCGTGGTGGGGGTGCTCCGGGCATAGCGCGCACAGGCGGCCTGTGCAGCAGCGGGCGGGGGCGGGCTTCACAGCGCCGAGCCCCGTGTCGGACCCGACACTTGGGGGTGGAGAGGAGCCGGGCGCCTGGAGCACCCCCGACCTGAGACTTGCTCCCCTGGCTACCTCCTCCGAACCACAGAGCTCCCTCCATGAACCGCTCAGAACCCACAAGTGAAGTGGGCAAAAGCCGGCCTGGGCTGGCGCTGCCCTGGAGACGGGGGTTGTTTTCACAGGCGGGGTGCCGAGAGCCCCAGTGCACGAGGTCCCTGGGTTGGGGGTGTTGGGGCGGTGCTTGGATTTGGTCTCCCACTCCCGAGCGCGCGTCCTTCTCCCCACACCTGCTGCCCGCCTGCCTGCCTGCCCTGGCCTGCTGTGTGGCCTTGGACAAATCACTTTCCCTCTCTGGGCTTTGAGCCCGCAGCTAGAATGTGCAAGGTCATCACAGGTCTTTCTTGGTTCAATGTTTCATGACTTACTACGTGGATTTTATAAAGTGACGTCCCTTTAGAGGGAGGCCAAGATGAGACACTCCTCACCTGCGGTGTCGGGGCCATGCCCCAGCGCGTGTGCCTCTCAGATCCGATGCCCCTCGCCCCGGCCAGGCACCATCCATCTGTGAGGGAACAGCCGAGAGGGACAGGGGCTCGCCTAAGGTCTTGGACTCGCACACAGCTACAGAAAATTGCTGTGACCACCCAAGGCAGCCTCCACGAGGCTCCGAGGTGCAAAAAAGCCAGAAATCCCAAGCTGCTGCTGGGACAGCGGCGCAGGAGGGCAGGCAGCCGCTCGACTTGTCTGTGCGGTTAGTCTCGGTGGAGGCCGTCGCCCCCGTCACCTGTGCAGGGCGTGGAATCTGTAAGCTCCAGACACGGAGGCCCACGGAGGGGCTTGACCTGAGTGTGTCACAGGACGTGGTGGAACCAGGACTCGAACCAGAGCATTCTTTATGAGAAATGACTGCATATTTTAGAGAATGTTGTTTTCTTGTACACTTTTGGGAGCCTTTTTAACGCCTGGTTCAGGGGAAGCCTGTGGGTTCTGGATCTGCGTCCGTGTTCTGTCGGCGCGGTGGCTCAGGTCGTGGCGCCTCTGGGTGCTCTGCGGGCCTTCGCGGGAGGACAAGAGCGAAGAGCGCCAATGAAGTCCTGGTATTACATGAAAACCGTTGGGACCTCACGGACCTTCTAAAGGGTCCTCAGGACCCCAGGGGTTGGCAGGTAACCCTCCGAGTGAGAACTGCCACTTTGCCCCAGGTGGCTTGTTGTCCCTGCCTCCTTCCTTCATCTGAGTCAGACAATGCGGGGCCTCCACACCAAGCCTCAACCTAAAGGAAACACGACTTTCCAGAAGGACAGTAAAGGAGAGGTAGTAACAGTGAGGCGCACCTCGTTCTTGGACAGAGGGACGGAAGGCCTGAAGGTGGTGGTTCCTGATAAAGTAGAGCTCACATTCCCAGTGGGGTATTTTTCCCCCTTACATATGACAAAATAATGCAGAATGGTCTGGAAGACAAAGTATATATGCGCACTCAGGAAAGTTTTAAAAAAGGAGTAACAAGGAAGAGCTTAGCATCCTAGGTGTTACAACATACCCAAAAAAGCATCGGTACTAAAAACATGGTTCTAGAGACGCACGTGAGACCTGGGCTTCCTGGACCTACTGCATTCTGGGTAACACAATGAAAGTCCAGACTGTACTGGAACATGCTAGAACATGTGGCTATTTACATTTACATTAATCGAGACTGAGGTTAAAAACTCACGGTCACAGTCTTACTGGCCACATCGCGTGGGGTCCGCAGCCACACGTGGCCAGTGGTTACCAGGCTGGATGACATAGAGCTAGAACGTTCCCCCCAGTGCAGAAAGTTCTGCTGAACAAGTCTGACCTAGAAGCAGGCCTGAGTACAGATGAGACTTTGTACGTGATGCAGGGGACATCGCAGACCTGAGGGGACAGATGAAAACGGGCGTTGGGTGCCTCTTCGGCAGCACGTGCACTAAAATTGGGACGATGCAGAGATCAGCATGGCCCCTGCGCAGGGGTGACACCCACATCCCTGGAGCGCTCCGTGTTCTTCTGCGGAAATTATGAGCCCATGAAAGATTTTGAGGACATGAAGCCGAAAGGCTGGTCTCTTTCAGAGGGCAAAGTGATCTTGGAATGTAAAGTATTTCTTTGAGTTGAATTCCATGGAAGTTTGTCATTGACCTGTGTTCCTGAACTATGAAACATGCATATTTGAGCTAAGGAATAGTTTCTCCTGATAAGTAAATGAGTAAGAAGCACAAAAGAGGAAAAAAAAGAAAAAAGAAAAAAAGAAAGTGGATGTTGGGTTAGTTGTTGCATTTGGGAAAAAACTAAGTAGATTCCTTCTTTACCTTAGAGTACAATGAAGGTTAGGTTAAAGATGTACATGTAAAAATTTTAAAGACCCCAAGCTTTAAAAGTAGTGGCGGAGCATTTTTACAAGAAGTTTTGTTGAATGAATGGATGACTGAGGATGGCCAGGCTAAGCCAGATAGCAGTGGAGAGCCCACCGAGGGAAGGACTCATGGCGCGAGTCCTCTGCTAGGAAATTCAAAACATCAGTGTGTTCGCCCTGGCCGCCGGTGTGGCTCCGTTGGTTGGAGCATTGCCCCGAAACCAAAAGGTTGCGGGTTTGATTCCTAGTCAAGGCACATTCCTAGTTCCGGGTTGAGCCTAGTTCCGGAACCTCAGCCTGAATTTGTATGATCCCCGGTCTGGGCAGGTACGGGGGGCAACCAGTGGCTGCTTCTCTCTCCCACTGATGTTTCTCTTTCCCTTCTCTTCCTTCCTCTAAAAGCAGTGAAAAAATGTCTTCAGGTGAGGATAAAAACACACACACAAATATTTTCATATGGGGGGAAAACATAATGAAGAAAGATATATAACAAGGAACAAAACATATAATGCATCACCAATAAAAATTAATATCCTTAATATTGTTTTATAAATGAGTAAGAAGATATGATTAGACCAGTGACAGACTTGTTTATTAATAATAAAAAATAAAACGAGATTTACTTTAAATGCATCTGATTGGCATAGATTAGAAAATTACGACAGTGTGGGCAAAGGCGTCAGAAGATAGACAGTCTCAGTCATATCCCCTGGGACGTCTGGGAAGGCTTCCTGGAAGAGAGGGCAGTGGCTGAACTCTACAGCTCTGTGGCTGCCAGCTGTCTATTATTCCCTAATTTATGGATGTATAACCCAAAGGCTTGTCCAAGGGATGAGGGTGTGAACTTCATCCTTTTAAGTGAACCACTCATTATTTTACGTAGAGTATCCACCCCCTAGGGACCAGCCCATGGCTGTTTTGGTACGTTTTACTTCCTGTCTCTTTCCTCTGGGGTTGAGCGTTCCCACCTTTAGCTTCGTTTGCCACTTTCTCCGCTACCCATTACATCGTGTGCGTTTCCCTGAGACGTTAAAAGACCGTTTGCAAACTGCATTTGTAGTGAACATCTTTGTCTGCAGCCTGATCTACTCCCGAGGCAAGATGAGAAGGGGGCGAGTGTTTTGGGAGTCTGGTGAGCTAAGCCAGACCGCTTTCCTGGAAGCTGCCGAGCATATGGCCCGCAGGTGGGCGATGAGTGTCTCCTAGGGCAGTCCCTGCCGCCGTCCCTCCTGACCGCTGGCTTGTCCCCCGCACAGACCGAGAAGGACATCCTGCTGCGGCCTGAGCTGGAGGAGCTGAGGAATGAGCATTCTGCGCGCTTCAAGCTCTGGTACACGGTGGACAAAGCCCCTGAAGGTGAGCGATGGAAGCCCCGGATGAGCCGGGCGGGCGGGGGCGGGAACGCTGGCCCACAGCTCACCTGTGCTGAGCGCTCCCCTGCGTGGAGCCTTCTGCTCTCGTGGTATCCTGGGGTGCGTGTTCTCACTGTGGCCTCGTGATGGGGAGGTGGTGTGACCCTACCTCACAGATGTGGAAGGAGGGACCAGAGAGGGGGAGGAAGTGCCCCACGTTGCACAGCTAGAGAACATCAGAGACAGGGCTTGGACTCAACTCACACGTGCTCCTCCAGGGCCTGAGGCCGTCCGCAGGCTGCACTGCCCCCTCCTGGACAAAGGAGGCGGCCTTCCCTGCTTGGGCTGGGGCTCGCTGTGGGCTGGTGTCCAGGGCCAGTGCTGGGACCTGGGCTGATTGTTCCCACCGCGCAGTTTGTACCCTGTTAGGCACTTTACACCCATTTTTTCTTTGGTCACCCACCCAGGGCTGACGTATGGTCCTACCTGTCCAGGTGTTAGGCTCTTTGCCAAGGTCACACAGTTGTCTGTGGAGGAACTAAAACCATGTAGGAGGCAGGGAATGGGGGCTGCCCCCAATGACACAAGATTGCCCTCTGGGAGCTAACCTGGTTCGTTCTCCTGCCTTAGGGAGATGTGCATGTAAAACAGTATCAGCTTTGCTGGGAGGAAAGCAGCAGGTCAGGCTTCTTGGTAGATAATACTGGAGATGTTTGCTTCAGGGTCAGTAGACACTAGGGAGCGGTGGAGAGTGTGGCAAGTGGGCGAGCATATGCCCTGTCTAGAGGGGGCAGCCCCCCTCAGCTATAGGCAATCGGCTCTGCAGGAACTCAGTCCTGTAGCCCAGGCCTTTCCACTTTTTAAGGGAAGCTGAGTCTGCGTTTTCATGGGAAGTTTCTAAATGTTAGAAAAGACATTTTCGAAGTACCCATGTAGGCACCAGCTTGTCGTCTTGCTCATGGCCTGCCCGCTGCCCCTGCCTGGCCTCTGCTCCTCACACAGCCCCACGGTTCCCTGGGACTCAGCCACGGTCGGGGGGACACAGCACCCTCTGCTGCTCCCAGAAATGAGCAGACAGGCTCTGGGGGCTGGCTCCCATTCCTGAGAGAGGAGCGTCCCTCTGGAGTGCCCAGGGCAGTCCTGGGCCTCCTGGCTAAGAGCCAGACCTGGGCCTGCATGGACGGGTGGACCTGAGAGCCGTGTCCCGAGGCCTCTGGCTGGACCGGCCAGCCTGGCCCCGTGGGCTGATGTTCGAGTGGGATGAACAGGAAACAGGTTTCTTAGTCAATTACCGAGTGTAGTAGCACGTGGTCAGCAAGGCCCAGAGGAGACACAGTGGAGTCTGGCAGGGGGTTGGAGTGGAGGTCAGGGGGGGGGCGGGGTTGGTGGGGGCACAGGTTCTGGGCGTTGGATCGGAGCTGCTCTTCTAGGAAAGAAAAGAACATTTATCTTATACCCAGGTCTCAAAAGGGGGAGGAAGAGGGGCAGTTTACCTCTGTTCTGGTCACAGGCTCTAACAGTGCGGTGGGGTAGGCTGTCAGCCACGATAGGACCCGCCTTGCCTGTTGCCAGTGAAACGCCCCCTGCACAGGAAGGGCGACCGATGCTGACCCCTGCTGGTGGCACTTGGGAACGCCCTGACCAAAGCGCTACCTCCTAGGGACTAGTCGTTTTAATAGTAGAACCAGTTACGGGCCAAGAAAGGTATCATGGGTTTTCTCCTATCATTTTACACTTATGTTTATTGTTACCCTGACCCACATTTCAAGAGCAGTTAAGGTATTGCTGTAGCATGGGGTATAAGCTGAACTTCTAGATGTTGAGAAAGAAAATGGTAACTGGCCAGCCTGGCTGTCGCGGAGCGAAGCGAAGGAGCAGACGAGGGGCCAGCTCACGTGGCAAATGCAGCTGACTTATGCTTCCCCCGCAAAGCTGCCTTCAGTACACGTGTAAAAAAAAAATACACTGCGTTTAAAAGTCCTTGTAAAACTGAGATGTGTCTCACAGACCTGCACATTTCATACGTTAGCAAATACAGTTCTGTTCCGTGCAGTTTTTTACAAAGTCCTTTCAGATCTGTTGCCCTGCTATAAAAATGTTATGTGTCCATGCCCTGCCTTGTTCCAGATGGATTTTGGGCAGCTTAACAAGACTCCTAGGGTGAGTCAGAGTGGCACAAATAGAAAATAGGAGAGAGAGAAAAACAAGGGCAGGGCCATAAAATGGGATCAGGAATGAGGTTTGCACAAAAACATGGACTGGGATGCGTGCTTGCTGCAGATGGGCCACGTGTGTCATTCTGAGCTTCCCAGCAGCCAGAGTGAAAAGGGAGACGTGGCAGTTACTGAGATCAGTGTCCACGAGACACAGAATGCTCCATCGCTCAGCACTCTGTTGCCTCCCAAGGGGCCCCGATGGAGAGGACGGATGGAGGGCGGGGCAGTGAGTGTTGTCCATCTGATAGGCAAGGTCCCTCAGTCACCTCCTCCTGACCTTGGGCTTGGAGAGCTGTGTTTCAGTTGGTGTCAAAGGCTTTAGTGAAAAACAGAGACAAGCCAGATAATCAGGTGTTTGGGGCTGGAGGGCCTCATCCAGTCCTGGCAGAGCCCTGGGCCCTTCTGACAGGGGCGGTGTCCCTTTGTTGCCTCTCCTTCCCCTCGCATCGGCTACCCACACTCCTGCTTGGTCTTGCCCTCCTGCCCTCCTGCCCTCCGCCTGCTGCCTCTCTCATTATCCCCGTTGCCGCCCCCTGCCCCCTGCCCCCGCCCACAACAGAGTCAAGCTGGAGGGTCTGTCTGGGTGATCGTCCCAGCCACTGGCCAGAGCTCAGGGGCTGGCCTGGGCTCAGGCACCCACAGTGGGATCAGGGGGTAGCCGGCTATGGCGCCTCAGAGGGGAGGTCGCGTGCAGCCGATGGTGGGCATCCGCTGGTCCCTCCATTTGTCCCTCCAGGGCTGAGCTGCTCAGCACAGGAGCCATTTGAAAGGACCGTGGCTGCATGGCCAGCATGTGCCCTCAGTCCCCAAGTAGTGTTTGTCCCAACTGAATGGTGAAGAACCGTGAAGGAAGGAGCGCTTCATGCTGGGTCCCCTCCTCACTCATCCAAAAGAAGGGGCAACTTGTTAGACAGCACGTTTGAAGGAAGGCAGGAGACCCCCTCTCACTGGACCGTATAACCCTGTGCAGTAGGCAAGATGGCACTGTGAGGACAGATGTGGAAACTGAGGCACAGAGGGGTTGTTTGCCCAGCAGCCTGGAAGCCAGAGCTAAAGAGAAGCGGTGGGCGTCTGTAACGCTCCTCTTCATCTCTTCTGTCCCCGACACGGCCCCCAATCGTCAGAGCCCCGTTCTCCTGTTAGACTCCTGCCAGCCTCTGTCCCTGTGAGTCCACTGTGTGCCCGGGCTGGGCAGTCCCCTCCGGGAGCAGCTCCGGCAGCGCGTCAGTTCCTGAGGGCCCGTGTTGGACTAGAGCCCCTGCCAGCCTCACCACGGGCTCTGTCGGTCACTAGGAGGAACGAAAGAAAGTTCCAGATCTCAGGTGAAACCTGGAAAGACACCATGTGTGTGCATGTGCGAGACAGGGAGGCAGGCAGGACCGGGAGGGAGTCGGCGCTGCTGCGTCTGGAGCTTTAGTTTGTATCTGGATCTGGCTATTTTCAGGCTCACCAGCTGCTTGTTTGGGACTATGCCTTCCTTCATTATTGATTGAGCAAGTACTACAGGCGAGGCTGTCTGAGCACTTGGAACACAGCTGTGAACCAGACAGGGCTCCTCACAGGCCGATGCCCTGCTGGGGGCAAGAGTCAGACAGTGGGCGTGTGGGAGAGGTATCAGCAGAGAATGTCACCTTGACCAGCCTGGGGATGGACACTGGCTTGGGGACGGACATCCAGGACCTGAAGTTCACATCCCTAGCTGAGTGCATGTCCTATTGTGTGACCTTTGTGTGACCTTAGAGTACTCAGTTCGGGGTCCTCTGGGCCTCGGTTTCCACGTCTGTAAAATGGGATCATCAGCCACTCATAGGGCGGTTCTGAGGGCCACCTGAAAGGCCACATGGAAACTGTGATAGGGCTGCGTTTGGGTCATGGGCGAGCCAGGCTGGGCCAGGGCATCAGAGGGACGGTTATCCTCGTCACGCTCCGACCACTGTTGAAAGGAAGGAGGTGTTCCCGTGTGGGAGCTTCATCGGCCGGGGGCGGGGGAGGGTGTTGGGCAGACGGGCAGTCCTCGGTCAGCCCCAGGGCCGTCCTTGGGCTCACGCGGTCTCCTGCCCCACAGCATGGGACTACAGCGAGGGCTTTGTGAACGAGGAGATGATCCGGGACCACCTGCCGCCCCCGGAGGAAGAGCCGCTGATACTGATGTGCGGACCCCCGCCCATGATCCAGTACGCCTGCCTGCCCAACCTGGACCGCGTGGGCCACCCCAAAGAACGCTGCTTCTCCTTCTGAGGGCCAGCGCTGGCTGCCCGCCCGCCCAACCCCACCGCCTGCTGCGCGTCCTCATGTGCCCCGCCCCCGTCCGCCCCTTCCCGCCACCTGTGATGTCACCTCCCCCTCATCTCACACTGTGGCCTCAGGCTCAGCCTGGCCCTCCCATGCCCGGGTGGCCCTCTGCTGGGCTGGCCCCCAAGGGGCCCCTTTGGGAACAGGGCTCTGTTACAGTGGGCCACCACAGCCACCTTCGGGGCAGGTCCCTGCCCGACCCTCACTGGTTCTTACCAGTGATGCCCGGCCCGGGTCCTGCTCCTCCCTCATCCCCACACCCCCCACACTACTGGGCCAAGGCCACCAGCACGGTGTTCCATCCGCCCCTCCCAGAGCAGGCCACTGTCTGGGAATAAACAAACATACGGGCAGTCCAGAGTTGCAGGTGCCAAGGGATCCCTGCCATCACCTTGGGACCCTCGCCTCGCCTGCCGCCCCTCACTGCCTGCCTCAGGGCCAGGCCAGGCCTTAGCACCTGACACTACATACAGGTAGCACCCAAAAGTCCTCTTGGCAGGGACTACTGCGCGTGAGAGGCTGCCCCCACCTTAGGGCCCAGGGAGGAGGGGGCTGGCCAAGGGCCCCTCTGACTGGCACATGGGCCCTCCCGAAGCCTCCACGGTCTCCCCAGCACACCCAAACACCCGGCAGCTTTGGGCGTTCCAAGCTGTCAGCTCGGTGGTTGGTTCAACCGCTTTAGCGTCCTGGGCCACCAACCCTGATGGCAGAGCTAAGGCAGAATTAATGTTTATTTATTCTTCTGTCCCAAACCCACCCGTCCTGCTGCCTGCACCCCAGCATGGGGGAGATTTTGAGCAGAACCTCTTGTCTGAGCCACATTCTCAGTGGCCTCAACCGTTGCCTTTAGACAACAGTGGGTTAGCCTCTGCATATCGGCTTTTTCAGTCATTTATGAGCAGAAAAAAACGTTGAAATAAAACTTTGCTAGTATTAACCTGCTGCGGCTACTTGAGGCTTCAGTGTGGGTCCCTATGGGGGTGGTCGGAAGGGGGACAGCATGGGGTTGAGCAGGGCCTGGCATTTAGAGAGTACAGAAGTATACATGGGGGGAAAAGGCCAGATGTGCGGAGGCAAACATTAATGACTTGAATGAAACCACAGATCCATCCTACAGCTGCTGCTTTTACCCCGAATGTCAGAGGAGCTCTCACCATAAACCTAGCTATAGCGAGTCCCCTACTGTTGGACAGTGAGGCTTTTTTCAGTTTGTGGATTTTGTAAATAACAGTGGCATCTTTACTCTCCTTCCAGGCTGTTTCTTTTAGGACAGATTCCTGGAGGCAGAAGGCTGGGCCAGGGGCTTGGACCCTGGGAGGCTCAGGGAACAGAGTGAAGGCCTGTGTGGGTGGAGTGGAGGCGGGAAGAGGAGGGGACGGGGAGCTCACAGGAAGAAACCTGAGGCTGAGCTTCGGAACCCAGAGAAGCCCCTTTGTTCCTCTCCTCTCCTATTCTGTCCCCAGTGGTCTGGACTGTGGCAGACCCCATCCCGTGGAATCCTCCAATTTACCACTGATGAAATAATGAGTAGTTCCAGACACCAAGTGCTGTCAAGAAAAGGTGATTCCCTTTAGAGGAGAATGCCCGGAGCCCTTCTCTGAAGTGGCTTTTATTGAGAATGAAATACAGCATGCATGCAAAGCTTATCAATCAATGCCTAAAGGCTATATTTACAGAAAACAGAGATCATAGATAACAATTGCAGGAACACAGATTTGCCTCAGGTCAGGGGCTGTTAGATATGCTTTTGTCAGGTGGTAATGCTCCTGAATTTAGGAATTCATTCCTTTTTGGAGCTTAAACATCTGGTTTTTCCTTATCAGGGCAGTGCAAAGCATAGCAAGGCTTCCGTGGATACAATGCATTCTTTAGGCCACATTTCCCATGGGAACCCTCGGTGTTAACATCGGATCATGCCTGCCTCCAGCATTCCCAGTTTTCTGGTGGAAACTTACAGCCCCTTTCAAGGCCTGGCATACGTGGGGCTACAATTCCCGATACCACACAAAGTGGTCCCCAACATCTGGAAAAGGACCTGAGCTTGGGAATCTCTGGCCCCAATGGCCCTTCTTCATACCTACTGTGTGCTGGGCTCTGCTGAGCAATAGACATACAGTAGGTCTCCTCACTCCTGTCTCCATCTGGAGGAAGAGAAAAGAGGCCTGGGGGGGAAGGGGGTTCTGAACCTGCCTGAGTCCACTAGTAGCTGTCTCCAGGAGCAGGGGAGAAGGGCATGAACTGAACCTGGTCTCTCTTCTCTCCTGGTCTGTTTCCCCATCTGCAAAAATGAGTGTGTGAACTAGGTTGGTGATTCTCCACCCTCTCAGATCTGATACCTTTTTAAAATAACATTTATAACAGCCCCTTTAACCTCCTGAAGTGAATTCACAGGTAGTACCACCAATCTACACACAGACAACTCTCTAACTATATTATAAGAGAAGGAGAAGAATTTATAAAATGATGCACATTTCAGCCTGTAGATGCTGCCCAAGTCATCCCAGAAAGGTAGGTACGGCAGGGCCCAAATGCCATGTCCCTGAACTAGCACAGCCCCAAATGCGGCTATGGTCCAGGCACTGCTGGTGCAGGCCAAATTTTTCCAGGCAGGCAAGGCGGGATGTAATCCTTAGTCAACTTCCAAACAAAACGGCACCCAATTCCTTGACTACTGCGCAGCTGCATTGTTGGCAATTCCATGTTTTTTCACACTGCACGAAGTCCTGCGTGTTCATACAAGAAATGGAGTGAAGCCTGCCTCAGAATCGCAGCAGGCCTCTCAGCTCTGGGGATGTCGCCAGGTATGGAAGACTGTCCCCATCCCCACGTGACTGAACCCCTGTCATCCAGACAGCCAAACATGACCCAAGAAAGCTCGGAAATGCCCCCGAGGAAAGGCCACCTCGCTGAGAACTCAGAATAGGCTCATCTCAGTTAACGGTCCTATTGTGCTGGCTTCAAAAAAATCATTGAACTGACTTTTTTTATATTTCACTTAAGAGGCTACACAGGGCTTTAACTCCTTCATCCTCTGCCCACTTCCTGGCTCTTCCACACCTGTCGCCACGCTCCAGCTGGCCCGCAGCTGAGACCGAACCTGGGTGCTTCTCCTCCTAGGAGGGAAGGGCATGGTGGTCGCTGTTCGCAGCTGAGAAAAGGAGGCCCAGCCAGCAAGCACCCATTCACGCCTTCCAGGTGGGACTTGGATTCCCCTACTCCGTCTGGTGCCCAACCTCAGACCCCATGGCTCTACCATCGCCCAGTTTTTCCATGGAGCTTCTGGTGCCAGGTTTTTAATTGCAGCGTGATGTTCTGTCAAGAGTACATGACTCCTTACTAACCAATTTCACCTTAATATTTTTTTTAAAGAGTACCTAACTCCACTCGCAGTGTTGGACTAAGAAAATAGTAATAACATTAACATAAAATTCATAGAACACTAAATCCATGCTGGGCGCTTTTCTATAGACGTCACGTGTATTTTTTTTGATTCGACAAACGCGTCAAGCCGCATCAAGGGAATTCCACGTAAAATCAGTTTAACCCTCGCAACAACCTGTGTTACTCGCCCAATTCTAAAGATGAGACAGGAGCAAGGAGATGAAGCTATTTCCTTGTAGTCTCACCACGTGTTGACTTACGGAGTAACCCAAAGCCTTTTCTACGTTTTTCGATCCCAATCAAGCGGCACTTCCGGCTTATAAAAAACACCGACCACTTTTCACTGGTGTCTTATTTTCAACTCCGTCTGCTTTTAAAGCGTAAAGGGACGGGCAGATCGCGACTCCCAGGCATCCCGCAAAGTAGGCGGGTCACCTTAGGGGCAACCTTTACCCGCTCAAAAATTCGTCTCACATTAGCAGTGAGGATTCGGGCGTCACCCCGAATCGTTATTTTCCTTACTCATAAGTTTAAGGCATAAAGAGACACTCCCGTTACTTCCTACATAATGAATCTTAATCCCATTAGTCCTACGGTGATTATGAAAGTTGATCATTGAACTGAGACCCCCGTTCCTTTGAAGTTAGTCTTAATACTAGTTAATATTTTATGTCGTTTTTCATTTTACTTCTCCGGAGGAGAATAGAGAACAATAATCATCCAACCCTTCGTATGCAGATAAGCAGCCAGGCTCATGGGAAAGCGCTCCGCCCCTTCCGGTTCTTGCTTCATTTGAGCTGTCGCGAGAGTTCGTCGACCTAAGGCCGGAAACAGTCGCGCAGTAGCGGCTGAAGGGGCGGGATCCAGGCGTGGGGGGAATCTAAGCCGCTCTGTGGCTCAAGATGGCGGACATCTCCTTGGACGAGCTTATCCGGAAGCGCGGGGCTGCGGCAAAGGGACGGTGAGCGGTGTTTTCTCCCTTCGGCGTTTAGGGTTCGCGGCCTAGCGGGGATCGGGGCTGATGAGGGAGAGGCTCCGGCGAGACGCGGAGGGCCTGCGCCCGCCCCCTGCCGTAGCCGCGCTGCTCATTGGCCCGGCCGCCGCCGCCGCCACAGGCCTGGACATCCGGCCGCCCACTGGCTGCAGGCACAGTCGCTCCAGTGGGACGGGGGAGGCTGGCGGGGCTGCTGCCCGCGGCGGCGGCGGGGCCGGGGTGCCTCGCGGGAGGGCAGGGCGGGGCGGGGCTGCCCTCGGGTCCCCAGGGTCTCCCCGGCTCAGGCCCCTTCCCTGAGAAGACCGGCACTTGGGCTCCGCTTCTCCGTGCGGTCTTAGAGTGAGGACGACTCAACTTCAGTGGGGAAGTGACTTGCTGTGCCTCTGCCCGGACCTTTAATTTCCACACCCTGCGCCCGGTTCCCCTCTCCGAGCCGCTTCTGTTAACAATCGCCTCTCTGCGTGCGGCGTGTTGGGCAGCGCTTTCGTGTGCACGCCCTCTCGGTTGCTCTTTCGCAGTCCTGTCGGCCAGTTCGGAACATAGTCCCCATTTTGCAGACGCGGAGCTCGAGGCTGGGAGCAGAAGGGAGGTGTGCCCGGGGCGGCGGGGAGGAGTGGAGGGGCGGGCCGGGGTGCGCGACGCTGCCGGCCGAGGGGGCCTCGGGCGTGGGCAGGAAACGTGGGACGGGCTGGGGGTTGGCCGTTTCTTTCTCTCTTGTTTTATTCAATTGAATGTATTGGGCTGACATCGGTTAATAAAATTACACAGGGTTCACGGGTACAATTCTGTAGTACATCGTCTGTACATTGTATTGTGTGTTCACCGCCCCAAGTGAAGCCTCCTTCCGTCACCATCTCTGCTGCCTTCACCCTCCCCGAACTCCGCCCTCCGGGCCCCCCCGGCCTCCGTGGGCCGATTCTTGAGGGTTGTAGCGCGGTTCTCTGAGAAAACGCGGCCTGAGCGGGGAGCCTCGGGGGTGATTTGCGGTATGTGCCCCAAACCTCCTCAGGACCCTCAAATATCGTTAGTCGCCTCCGGCCTTCCCGAGGCCGGTTCACCTGCGTGGGCGACTGGGAGCTTTGCCGATGGCATTGCCGCACACGTTAAATTAGTTTAAATGTTTGTGTACCGCTGGCCGAACAGATGTTACACACCGCCTTCTCCGTCAGCCGTCCGCGGCAGGTGTCCGGGAACCCCCCGCCCCCCCGGGCTTCGGGCTGGAAGACAGACTCCCTGCCGTCTGGAACGTAGGGCCCCGCGCGCACGCAGGTCGGCGGCCGGCGCTCCCCCGCCCCGGGTGGCCGACGGGCGCTCGGTGCCCGTGCCCTCGGCCATCTCTCCAGGCGAGTTCGCTCCTAGGTCTTTCCTCTGGTAACTGGCGTGGAGTGGGCGCGGGGTCCTCTGGCCGCTCCTACACTGTCCGGGTTTCAGAGGTTTGGTCAGCGGTTGCTGAACGAGCGACGTCCCGGGGCAGGAGGGCTCCCCGCAGCCCCGCCCCGCAGTCCCTGACTGCGCGCTGCGCGCCGTCCCTCTGCTGGGTCTGCGCGGCGCGGTGTGGGTGCGGGCGGGGGCGGGGCCGGGGCGGGGCCGGGGGCGGCTGCGGGAGGGGCGGGCGGTGGGGAGAGCAGGGGCTGCTCGCAGCCTAGGCGGGCCCCGTTGTGGGCTTCTGTGGGGCCGTGTGCCTCCTGGGCCGGAGGACTTCTGAGCTGGGCAGTTTCTTCATTTGTAATAAGGGTTGATAGTAGGTGGTTGAGAGGGTTAAATATAAGAATGTATATTTTAAAGTTTGTACCAGGTAGTAAGTGCTCAGCAAGTGATGGCAATTATCATGGGCCCTTCCTTAAAGGAGTGGAAGCCTGCCCTGGCCAGTGTGGCTCAGTTGGTAGGAGCATTGTCCCGTAATCGGAACGATGCGTGTTTGATCCCTGGTCCGGACACAGAGGATCCCTGGTCCAGTTGCACACGGGAGACAGCCTGTCAGTGTTTCTCCCTTCCTTTCTCTCTAAAAGCAACGAGGGAAGCACTGTCTGGTGTAGCTCAGAGGGTTGGGTCTCACCCTGCAAGCTGAAGGGCCACCAGTTTGATTCCTGGTCAGGGCACATGTCTGGGTTGCGGGTGGATTTCTGGTTGGGGGCAGGTGAGAGGCTACCGAGCGAAGTTTCTCTCACACATCAATATTTCTTTCCCGCTTTCTCCTTCCATTCCCCTCCCTAAAATTAAATACATAAAATCTTCAAAAAGAAATGAAAGCGGTGAAAAAATGTCCTCAGGTGAGGATTAAAAAACAAAAAAGAGTAGAAGCCAGAAACCCTCCCCTGGGGACATGCTGGGTAAGCACTGGGGCTCTAGAGTCAAGCTGCTAGCTGTTCAGTTCCCTGCTGCTTCTCCTTTCCATTTGATTTTAGGCAAGTTGCTTAACCATTTCCTTACCTATAAACTGTAGACAGTACTTACTTGGTTATTGTCAGGACTAAGTGAATTAATACATCTGAAGTACTTAAGTATCTGATGAGTACTAAGTGCTCAATAGATGTTAGCTTTTTTTTAAATTTAATTTTTGTATTTTTTAGATTTTATTTATCTTTTAGAGAAAGGGGAAGGGGGGGAGAAAGAGAGAAATATCAATGTGTGGTTGTTTCTCATGTGTCCCCAAATGGGGACCTAGCCTGTAACCTAGGCGTGTGCCCTGACTGGGGATTGAATCAGTGACCCTTTGGTTCGCAGGCTGGTGCTCAATCCGTAGCCACACCAGCCAGGGCTATGTTAGCTTTTTTTTGTCAAACCAAAGGTGTTTAAGAAAAGAAGTAACAACCAGTTTTCAGTGTGAGAATATTGCTTTGCTATTATGTGCAGATTGGATTGGGGGAAAGTGCAGGCAAAGAGACTGGTGTGGAAGAGGCTGGACTGCATGCCATGTTTGAGTTAAACCTTCTGGGAACTCCATTTTTATTTTACTTGCACAGCCAACAAAGAGAAAAATTTGATCTTGAGGTCCCTGTCAAGAAATGTAAAAAGATCTGAACAAATGTCATTTTCTACGGTAAATATAGTCTGTCTTCATGCTTACTAGAAGAGTCCTTACTGGAAATTTTGGTGTAATGTTGCATGGATGTCTCAGGAACTTTGATCTTAATGGTTTGGGAAGGACCTGTGATTATCTCAGAAAAGTGGAAATAGCAAAGGACTGAGCATGTGGAAGTGTAAATAATCTCTTTCCCCACAGGGCATGGAATGTGCATGTACTTTAGAGGGACCATTCTGTTTCATATTCATTGTGCCTTGTAAGTCAAGAAATGCGTCATTATCATTATCGTGTAGGTCCCAGTTAATTGCGTGCTACTTCATCTAGGCCATGGCGAGGCATTGTTTTTTTCCCACGCATAGCACATCTCTAGCGACTTCATGTGCTCAAGACATGGATGAGTGTCCTCAGGACAGCACTGGGCACCAGCTGCTGTGCAAGCCTGTCCCTCTGATCAGTTTCTTCCTTCTGCTATGAGGGCATTGTTGATTAAGTTAGTTAAGAACTCTCTGATTCCATCAGTTTCATTCTCAGAGGGCAGCTTTCCCTTCACTCCGTTTATACAGCTGGATGAAGACGGGAAAGGCGGGCCTTGAGTGCGCTGGAGCCGAGCGGCCCAGTCCTGCACCCCTCTGTTAGGGAGGGGGTTGGGTAGCTTTCCCGCGCAGGCCAGGGCCTGGGTCTGGGTCTTCATTGCTTGGTTCCCAGTTGAAATGAGATAGAGGAGGTATGTAACTAAAACAAAGAAGAGGGAAATTAGCTCTTACATAACTTAGAGGGGAAGAATTAAGATTTAAAATGAAACATCTGCTCAAGGCCTCCTTGAAGGGTAATGGGTTGCTTTTCTTAATATGTCTAAAGTACCTAATTGAGAATTGACCCTCAGTAATAGAGCCAAACTGTGTTTTCTCCCTGTAAAGATGACCTCAACACACATGTACTCTAACCCAGAGACCCCAAGGATAAAATCCACTTTATAATAACCTAGGCCGCTGCTGTTGGCCTGAATCCTTTGGACTGGACATAGGTCAAGAGCCAGCGGCCACTCCGCCCTCCACAGATAGAGCCAAGATGGCGAGGCGCTCCTCGCCCTGCGCAGCCCCTTTGCAGTCATTTCATGTGTTCAGGCTCCAGTGGGGCATTGGTCTTCTCACCCGCAGGACTCTTCCCAGGACCGTGGGGTGCTGCACTGTTTGGGGTGTGACAGGGTGGGACAATTAAGAGGCTGCTCAAAATGTCCCTTCTCCCTCCTCCCAAACATTACTGAGGCCAGAAGTGCAGAATGTGTTTTGGGAACACATACTCTACAGTCAGAGATGAGGCTGCATGCAGAAGTTGGGGCCAGCCCAGGGGCTCCACTGAGGGGTTGGGCTTTTTTAGGGAACCCACAACAGTTCTTGGGGCAGGAGGGTAACATAATTGACTTTCTGTTTTAGAGACCTACTTCTAGCAGGAATGTTTATTTGAGAAATTCTTGATGACTAACGCCTGCTTTATAACCAAACCTGCTGGGATGAATAGCTGTCTTTTCATGCAGGAACAGGAGCAGTGATTATAAACAGCCTGAACACTGAAATGCACTAAAGCTGTTCGTGAGAGCAGTCAGAAAGAGCCGGTGTGGCCAGGGAACTGAATGCATGGGCTTGAGGGAAAGTAGCTTACTCACCACGACTACATCACCTCCCTTGCCCAAGTGTACCTTTTACATTGTTCCAGTAGATGAAATTCTGCAGCGCAAGGCTGGTGTTTTTTGGTGCTCTTTCTTGCTTGACACGCAGTATGGTGTGTGGGTCCCAAATGTGTGGCCATCCTCGATGGATGTGTTCACCCTCTGGTCACTAGAGAGTGTGCTTTCTCCCTGGACATGACTGGAGTCCTAAGATTTCCCTTAGTCTGGGGACAGCACTCATCCTTCAAGTTGTGGTCCTTCACCCCTCCCCCCGCCAAAGATTTTATTTATTTATATTTAGCAGGCGGGAAAAGAAGGGAGAAAGAGGAAAGGAAATAGTGGTATGAGAGAGAAACGTTGATCAGTTGCCTCTCATATGCCCCCAACTGGGGACCTGGCCAACAACCCAGACAGTGTGCCCTGATGGGGAATCAAAACAGGCAACCTTTCAGTTTGCACACCAGTGCTCAATCCAGTGAGCCACACCAGCCAGGCCTCAGGTCTTTATTTTTGACCCATACTTAATTTATTGGTACTTTAACTAGATATGGTGAAGTTCAAATCCAGCCTTTACCATTATAGCTCTGTTACTTGGGACATACTCCTTGAAACTCTGTTTTCTCCTCTATAAAATGCAGATAATTACCTAATTCTCTGAGTTGTGAGGGTTGTAGGAGGTATGTCAAAGTTTATGGACCTTTAGTAAATGCTCAAAATGTTGAGGTCACCTTCTTTATAAAATCTTTCAGACACCCTGATGGCCAAGGGCCCTTGTGTGGCCATGGCAGACATTGCTTATCAACCATAGGCTCCTGTGGGTTCTCAGGAGAGCACTTAACGGCCATTACTGATTTTCGGAGAGGGAAATGGTTGAGGAATAAGAATAAATTAAGGTTACAGAGGCCTCGTCTCCCAAGCCCCTCATACGTTGCTACACTAATCTGCACCTTTCTCCATTCTCTGTTCAGGGAGATGAAATTTGTTTTCAAGAATCTCGCTGTCTGTTGCAGCCACTGAGTGATCTGATAGCGATCTGATCAGTATCACTATAGATGTTTACCTTTTCTAGAACTTAATGGAAATGGAGTCTTTTCAGTATGAATTCTTATGCCTGGCTTCTTTTACTCAGTATAACGTGTTTTGAGTTTCCATCTGTGTTATTTTGTGTATCAATAGTTCATTTCTTTTTAGTATTTCATTGTATGGTTGTACCAGAACACATATCCATTTACATGATGATTGGCATTTGCTGTGTTTACAGATTTTCGTGATTATGGATAAAGCTCAGGGAGAAAAAAAAAAGAATCTCATTGTTTCTTTAGTTACACAGAATAATCACTTTCAGTTGGTTATCTGTCCCCCTGCACTTCCTTTAAAAAATATTTTATTTACTTTTAGAGAGGGGAAAGGAGGGAGAAAGAAAGGGAGAGAAACATCAATCAGTTGCCTCTCATAGGCACCCCCAACTGGGGACCAAACCCACAACCTAGATATGTGCTCTGACTGGGAATTGAACCAGTGACCTTTTGCTTTGCTGGATGATGCCCAACCAACTGAGCCACACCTGTCAGGGTCCCTCTGTTTTATGTGTAGTGTTTTCTTTCTTGAATGTTTGGTAAAATGGGGTAGCTTTAGTTTTGGGTTTTTTTTTTTTTTTTTAATTTTATTTTTTAGAAGGAGTTGGGGAGACAGGGAGAGAAACATCAATGTGCGAGAGAAACATGGATTGGTTGCCTCTTGCATGCCCCCAACTGGTCCCCTGGCCCACAACCCGGGCATGCGCCCTGACTGGGAATTGAACCTGCGACCCTTTGGTTTGCGAGACAAGCCCCAACCCACTAAGCCACACTAGCCAGGGCTAGCTTTAGTTTTTGAATGCATAACTGATGCCATGGGGCCTAGATTTGTCCTATTTTCATAGTGTTGTAAACACCAATGGAGTATCCCATAATAATGAAACTGGAAATGCCGGTGTTTGTGTTGCCTGTCACTACCAAAACCAGTAAACAGAGACAGGGATTGAATCTTTATGCACGCTTTATTCAGATGGCCAGCAATCTGAGAAGACGGCAGGTATGTACCCTAACAGATGGTCTTACATTTCCTTTCAAGCCAGCCTTTTTTGTAAGGAGGAGAAGTGTAGGTAAGAGATTTGGAATTAAGGAAAGAGATTAATCAGATAAAAGCTGCAGTCAGGCAATTTCTCTGACATCCTTTCATCTGTCAGCCAGGTATTTTCTGTGTCCTGAGTCCTGGGTGATTTTCTCTGGCAGTGGGATGTCTCTGCCTGGAGCACAATGGCTCAGTTACCATCTTGATTGTTTATGGTCTCTTCTGGAGCACAGAAGTTGAAATGCTTGTGGCCTTCTGGGGTCAGGGTGGGCCACACATTCAGTTCCTGAAACAATAGCTTTTTACATGCATTAACTACTAAGCTTATTAACTATTACCTAAAATTAAAATTTTCCAACTCTTGAGTTCCCCTATCAATAGAGCATCACACCTCCTTTAGTTATAAATATCAGGAACTCTTGGTAATGAGGGTACCCTGGTGATGAGAGGCGGTGAGATTTGGAGAAGATAGGCAAAGGTAGGAAATCTTCAGGACAGGCTCAGGTTTGGATTAGGACGTGTCTGCTCCTCCCCGCATGCCCCCCCCCCACCATGTGCTCATCAATTAAGTCTTCCACTGTTGATGGTTATGCAGCCTGATCCCATTTGTAATGTCCTTAATTCCTGAAGCTCCTGCAAGAGAGTTAGGATCTCACCCTACTTGGGGGAGGCAAGATCCTGGTGGGTTGACTTTCAGGGGCAGGGCCAGGGCTACCCTATATATGCCCTGGCTGTCTGCGTAGGTGCCGGAGAAGCAGTTGGTGACTAGGACCCTAGCAGGGTGTTGCGCCGGTCGATGGGGCCAGGTAGGGGGCTGCCTTTGCAGAGGCAGGCTTCTCCAGGAGAAGCCCTTGCAGGAGCTTCCACCACTCCCCCGCTTCTCACCTCCTCGGGCTTGGAGTAGGAAGGAGGGAAGCGGGGAGCCTGTTCTAATGGAAGGATCGTGGGCTCTGGGGTCCAGTCCCAGCCATGCTACTAGCTCTATGATATTCTTACACAAAGGCGGTGGAGGTGGTGGCAACTAACAGATTGTGAGCCTGGAAGAGTAATGATTTATAGGAGCCTGTAGGGGCCTTAGCACTTAGCAGGAACTCAGGATCACAAAACTCTTGGAGCTGTAGTCTTTCTCCTGAAGCCCAGTTGACGCTGGAGAAGAGCTATAGGGTGTGCTCCTGAGCAGCTTAGTGCCGTAGGAGATGCAGGCTTGTAAACAGATCATTGTGATGCAGCAGGGTACGTGCTTTAATGGGAGCTTTGTCCAGCACTTGCGAGCTCCTAGGAGGGAGCCTCCAGCTGTGGAAGTTATATGGGAGAAGTGGAAGAATGAGAGATGTAGAAATGGGGAGGGGATGCTCAGTGCCTCCTGCTGCCAGAACTGCGAGAGCAAAGAAGCCTCAAGCTGGGCTGTGGATGGGTATTTTCCAGTCTGCCTAGAATGCTCTCTGTCTCTAATGGTATCTCAAAACACTTTTTTAAAAATATATATTATTTATTTATATTTTACAGAGAGAGGAAGGGAGAAAGATAAAGGAGAGAAACATCCATGCCTGAGAGAAGCATCGATCGGTTGCCTCTCACACACATCCAACCGGGGATGGGCTAGCAACCCAGGCTTGTGCCTCCACCAGGGATGGAACCTGCAACATTTCAGTTCCTGGGACAGTGCCCAACCCGCTGAGCCAAACCAGTCAGGGCAGGAACAAAACACTTTCACCTAGTGATAGAAATCACTAGGCCCGCCTTCCTAATTTTGTTTCCATTGCAAGGTTAAAAGCCATAGAGCTAGGAAAGAAGCCTCTATTACTTACTGGATTGGCCAAAAAATTCGTTTGGTTTTTTTCCATAAAACAGTTAGGGTAGCGCTTAATTGTCTTTAATGTCGTTTGAAACAATTTTGTTAGATTGTATTATATCATGACAGCTATCATCTAAGTGGGCATTTTAAAGAAAACTTGGTGAATTTTTGTGTAGCCATTTTAATTTTGAAGATGGAAGAAAATAAACAACATTTTTGACATATTATGCTTTATTACTTCAAGGAAGGTAACATAACTGAAACGCAGAAAAAGATTTGTGCAGCGAATGGAGAAGGTGCTGGGACTGAACGTATCAAAAGTGGTTTGTGAAGTTTCGTGCTAGAGATTTCCCTCTGGACAATGCTCCACAGTTGGGTAGATCAGTTGAAGTTGATGGTGATCAAATCAAGACATTAACTGAGAACAGTCAATATTATAACATATGGAAGATAGCTGACATACTCAAAATATCCAATCAATAAAGTTATTGGTGAAAATGAAAAATGTGTCTTTTATTTTACAGAAAAAAAATACACGAACTTTCTGGCCGACCCAATATTTGTTTCCTCTGACAGGGAGCAGCTTTCTGGTTTCTCCGGCCTCCTCTCTTCTCAATATTACTGCTGTTGATGTCCATGTCCACTTAATATTGCACTTTTTATTTGTAGGCTCAATGTTAGGCCAGGAGTTGGAGGTGTTCGATCTCATGTTGGGATCCAGCAGAGCTTTCTCAGCCAGCCAGCACGCACAGCCACCTTCCAGCAGAGGTTTGATGCCCGGCAGAAGATTGGCCTTTCGGATGCGCGGCTCAAGCTGGGAGTCAAGGATGCCCGGGAAAAGCTTTTGCAAAAAGATGCCCGTTTCCGGATCAAAGGGAAAATGCAGGATGCCAGAGAAATGCTGAACTCCCGCAAGCAGCAGGGCACGGTGCCCCCAAAGCCCCACCAGGTGGCTGATGCCCGAGAGAAGCTCAGCTTGAAGCGGAGTTCTCCTGCCACCTTCATGAGTCCCCCCATTGGGACAGTGACCCCAGCTCTGAAGCTCACTAAAACCATCCAGGTAGGCGTGCCTCTTGGCATGAATTCCAGGAAGCCAGTAACAACTGTAGATTCTGGCAGGGAGCTGGGTCGGTAATATTTGGGCAAAGTGACAGTTCCCCCAAGTGTTTGTACAGTAACTATATAAGGAAGGCAAGGTATTACCCAGTTTTATATAAAAGAGGGGAGGGTCCAGAGAAATGAAGTGACTTTCCCAAGTGAGGTGGTGGAGGAGGGAAGAGAGGGAGGAGGACAACATTTGTTGAGCATGTACTACGTGGCAGGCACTTAACATACGTGACCTTATGTATTCGTCACTGCAACGCAGGCATCATTACCCCAGTTTTATCAAAGAACCTCAGTCTCAGAGATGTGAACTATTATGCCCAGGGCTACACAGCCAGTGTCATTGGGAGGACCTGGCACCTCATGGTGCCCTGGCCGCCTGCACAGCCACCGCCCTAAAGGGAATGGAAACAGTATCATTTAATCTTCACAGCAATGCTGGTAGTAGGAACAGCAGCAGGGAACATTTATTGAGCCAGGTTCATTGAGCCCTAGACATGCATTACCACATGGTCTCTGAGACGGTGAATCTTCTGTCACTCTCCTGCTTTGGGTGTGAGGCACTCTGTAGGGCCTTTTACCAAAGACCAAAACTGAGTGTCCCGTGTATGTCAAGTTCAGTGATCATGCACATGGATTCTGTGGGATGAATTATGACCAGTGGGTATTTCTAGGTTCCACAGCAGAAGGCCGTGACCCCGCCCCATGCCCATCCTGCTGGAATGAGAATTAATGTCGTCAATCATCACCAGGCCAAACAGGTAGAATGTGAGTGTGTGTGTCCTACACGTGTGTGTATGTGTACAGATGGTGTGTACAGGCATGAGTGTGATTGGGCCTCGTGGGTGGATTAATTGATGCCTAGCCCAAGGTTCACAATTTGAAGAATTGGAGCGGTATACGTTTGACTTTTTGTATATTGTAAGTTTTAAGAAGTTTCGTAATGGGAGAGGGGCAGAGAGGAAAATTGAAAAAATGTATATTTTTAATTAATATGTGCCTAAATACAGAAAATTTATAAAATAGAGCAAGATTAAGAATAAGTTCCTTATGCTCCTGTTCTCCAAAGCCAGCTGTTGTTGAAATTCTGCCCTGGTTCTTTCCTGGTTTTGTTCTATCTATCTATCTATCTATTTATTTATTTATTAGATTTTTGTTAATTTTTTTTCATGTGTCAGTACTTTTAATATTGAACACAATTACAATAAAAAGATGACTGTAAACTAGATGTAGCCCCTCCCTTCCCATGATCAGCGCACTGCATTACAGAAAACCAGGTTTATGTCCCGCCATCAAGTGTGCTTCTCCCATTAGTTCACTTTGTGATGGGTCATTAAGAATATCTTCGAATCCAGTAGTCTCGTCATTACCCCTCAAAATGTCCCGTGAAAGAGTCGAGCTTGGAAGACACGGAAGACGCTGAACCTGTTGCGCTGCCTTGAATTCCACTCACAATTTTAGTGGAGCAAACAGACCCTGGGTGTTTCTCAGTGTGGAAATATTCATTTTATCTTGGTTGAGCTGGAAAATTTTTTTCTGATAATTGAGGAGGATGACTGGGCAAAAGTTCATTTTTCACTCAAGTAAAACCTTTTCGAAGAAGATCATGACTTTCAAAAGGTCCACTTGCTGAAAGCTCAGTCACTGGAATGCTGTCGTTCAGCTGAGAGCCAATTCCTCTGGTGTGCATTTTCAGCGTAGTCTGCGAACAGCCTCTCAGCACCCTTAAATTTTTATTTTTTTAAAAAATTTGTTATTGTTCAAGTACAGTTGTCTCCATTTTCCTGCCGCCACTTTCCCCTGCCCCACACACCCCCACCTCTCACCCTCAGTTCTTCCCCCATTTGGCTTTGTCCATGATTCCTTTATACATGTTCCTTTCCTGCCCGATTTTTAAATGTCATTATTATTTAATTAACACATAGTTGTATTTGTGGCTATATTCTTAATCCAATTTTGTGTTATTTTTTCACTTTATAACTCAAGCATTTTTCTGCGATTAACATTTACTGTAAACAGCATTTGTAATAACTGCATAATCCATAGAGTTGACGTTCCAATTGATTTAAATCATTTTATTATACTTTTCACTTTTAAAAAATTCTCTGAACGTCTTTGTGGATAACGCTCTTTTAAGGGTTTGGGTTTATTTCTGTAGATCAGATTGCCTGGGGTAGGCTTTCCAAGCCAGTGGATATAAGAAATTTTGGGGACTCTTCCTAGGCATCATCCACTTGTAGAAAGAAACTTTTTTTTTTTTTTTTTAAGAAAGATACTTCTGATGTACCCGGAGTTGCAGCGCTTCATTAGGCCCTTGTGGGCAGGGGCCCGCCTGTCAGGGCTTGAGCCATGGCCTCCTCAGGCACCCCGCACCCCACCCCCCGCTTCTCCCTCCACCTCAGTCACCCCAGCAGCCTTCTCCCTGCTGTCCTCGCTCCAAATTTCTGTTGACAGCCTCTATGCCACAGTAGCTTATATTTCTCTATTTTCAGAATTTATACGACCTGGATGAAGACGACGATACTGCAGCTCCCATTCCGAGTAAGATGAAGTTTGCAGCCTCAGGCAGCTTTCTCCACCACATGGTAGGGCATTTTACGTTTTTCATATGCTCACTGTTGTGTGTCTGATCAGGTGGATGGTAGAGGTGGTGGAAGTAGGCTTTTCAACTCAGAAATATTTCTTTATTTGGGTCTTGAGATTTTCAGAACAAACTAGTCCAATTCCTCATTTTCTAAGTGTTGAGATCAGGGTATCTAGTGACTTGTTCAAGGTCCCACAGCTAGTGAGGTTTGAGACCCTTCTGGAGAAATGTGGTGACTCTCCGGGAGGAAACCCTATTTTCTTTTATTTGCGGCAGGGCCTTCTATGCCCTGCTACCACTTTCCTCCGCGGTCAGCAGCTCTGGCCCCGTTCTTAAACCTGGATTCCCTTGATTAGTATGTTAGCAAAATATCTGAACCTTACCTGTGGGTTGTACCAGGTACAGCCTGCTTGCAAGGAAAGCTTGATAGACTAGAATGCTGGTCAGATACCACGCAGAAAAGGAAAAAACAACATTAGGAGCATAAGGGAGGTCTGTGCAGCTCAGCTCAGTGGTTGTAGCCAAATTACAGACAGGGAAGCCAATGGGCATCCAAGCCAAGAGCCTTTGTTTTGCCATCAGGGGGCCCAGAGATTCAATTTTGGTCACTGCACTGAATGTGTGGACCAATCTCCTGGTTACCAGTGAAACTCTTCAAGCTATACGTGAAGCCAAATGATGCCAGTTTCCTACAGAGGGGCTGGCCTTTCCAATAATTAGACTGCTAGGTCTGCTGCAGAGGGAGCTGGCTCAGTAACTAACCCTAACTGAGACCCTAAAATGTGGTGTTTCTCTTAACTCATTTAAGACGGCTCCTCCCTCCCTACCGCCCTCCCTCGCTGTGAGATGGATGTCATCATTACCCCTGTGTTACTGACAAGAAACCAGGCCCAGTGAGGTTAAATAAACCTGCTCATTGTCACCCAGCTTGTAAGGGGTGGATCTAGGATTCAGGAATAAACAGTTTGCTCCTGGGCCACGGGTTTAACCACTGTGCTGCACTGGCTCTTGAAACTGAGAAAGTGACCTGAGGAAAGCGGAGCCCAGCTGAGGAGGACAGTTCGTCTTAAAGCAGAAAAGCTGGTGAATCGACCCTGTGCCATACTGTCTTCCTAGCTGACGTGTTCCTCTTCCCTCCCTGAGTCAGTGCCTGTTGGACACCACCCTCAGTCAGCAAGACCACCTGCCACTGCTGCCTCGTGTACCTTTTTCCTCAGACACATTAATACCAGGGACTTCACTGCTTTATATTTCCAAGGGACCACGTCCCCAGTTAGGGCTTGCGGGGGGAGGGACCTGTGTCAGCTGGTCTCTATGTGCCAGTTCTGCCTCCATGTCCTTGACAGTCTGGAAGCTGCTGGGGCCCAGCCTATGCGTGGTGCCTCCGTATGGCCAGACAGGGACCACAAAGCTGGGGGTTAGGCCTGGAGCTGATGATCAGTCCATAGAGGCATATGGGGGAGCACACTTGATCCCAAGCTTTGGCCTTCTGCCAGCCCCAAATTGTTGGGTTTTTATAAAGTCACACCATTTAGGTATGAGTCAGCCTGCGGATCCTGGTCAGGGCTGCATGGTAGCTTTTTGGTAAGGCCTTCCAGTCCTGGAAATCGGCTTCTGTGGGCACATGTGCAGGTTGTGTGTTTTTCTCCCCTCCTGCCCCTTCCCTGTGGGATGTCACTGGCAGTCTTTTTGGCTTCAGGCCACTAATGGAATTGGGAAACTGGGAGACCTCAGGTGGGGCTTGTCAGCCACTAGCTGGCGTTCAGGTTGCTTGCCTCTTAGGTTACTGTCTGCCTTTTTGTTTAGGCTGGGCTGAGCAGTTCCAAGCTTTCCGTGTCTAAGGCCCCCCCTCTCACCAAAGTGGTTCAGAATGATGCGTACACAGCGCCTGCACTCCCCTCCTCAGTTCGAACAAAAGCCTTGACCAACATGTCCCGAACACTAGTGAACAAGGAGGATTCCCCCAAAGAGCTGCCGCCTGCTGAGGTGAGGTGAAGGTGAAGGAGAGGAATGCTGGGTGGGCAGTTCCTCTTGTTGTATGTGCCCTGTGGCATTCACAGCGCCTATCTGAGGTAGGCGTTGCCACCCTCCTTTTACAAATGAGCAAAACAAAGACCCCTGCATGCAAAGAATTTGCAGGCAAGTGGAGGAAATGGAGCCTTGGACAGAGCGCTGTGTCTGCTGACGCAACAGTTGTCCCCAGAGGAGAGCTGCCGGAACACTGAGGAGAGAGCAGCTAATTCCACTGGGCACATCTGGGAAGGCGTCAGGGAGAGGATGCCATCTGGGCTGGGTGGGTCTTGAAATGGGAGTGGCAGAGGCTCAGAGGCCTGAAAGGTACCCCAGAACATTTGGGAAACAACAGGCTCCATTCCTTTGCATGGGGGGGTGCGGCATGCGGGGTGCTGGGGTCTCTGATGGGCAGTGGGCCCTCTGGGTCATTCGCCTGGAGTGAGTTCTGCTGTTGAAGCACACAGCTGTTTTCTGCCTTCTGGTAACACGCTTGTCTGTGGCAGCCTATCCTCAGCCCCTTGGAAGGCACCAAGATGACTGTGAATAATCTGCACCCTAGAGTCACCGAGGAGGACATTGTTGTGAGTATTTTGCCCTGCCACAATTTGACTTCTGAGTCAAGGATCCCCAAGGCCACCCTCAGGTTCCTTGATTCTGACGGGACTCTGCACAGTCATATCAGGGCTAAGATTCATTACAGGGTACAAAGCAAAATTAGCAAAGGGAAAAGGCTCATGGGCAAAAGCCAGGGGACACTGGGCACAAACTTCCAGAGGCCCCGCCCAGTGGAGTCACACAGGACGTACTTTATTCCCCCAGCAATGAGTTGTGATGATGCGTGTGAATCAGAGAAGCTCATTAGAGACTCAATGCCCAAGGTTTTTATTGGGAGCTGACTGGTCACACAAGCACCCTCTGCCTGGCACATGCCAAAATTCCAGACTCCAGGAGGAAAGCAGGCGTTCAGCATAAACCACAGACAGCTCAGCACGGTGAGCCGCCCTTGTCAGTCGGGATGGTGCGAGCCCTCCCACAATCTGGGTTCCCAGACACCAGCCACGGGCCAGCCTTGGAAGCAGGCCTTTCAGAGGGTTGTAGTCAGACAGGACTGTGTGAGCTCTTGGTGCCGCTTCTGCACCAAGGCCCAGGGCTCATGCTGGGACAGGTCCTGAGTGGGCTCCTTCTGTCCCATGGTGCATCACCAGTGGCTCCTATTTTTCTGTGAGTCTTCAGAACTTCTGCCTCCTCCAGAGGTTTCACATGATGAGTCCGGAGGAAAAGGAGTGAGATGGGTTGGTGTCATCTTGTGGTTGACCCCTCTGGATTGCCCCCCCTAGTCCAGCTTGTCCCACCCTTGGCGGTCACAGGCAAAACCCAGTGCAGGTGCCTGCTGAGTAGAGACCCAGATCCAGCCAGGACTTCTTTTCAACCCCGTTTTCATTCAGGCACCCAAAAAAGCTATTAGTTTAGAAATTCAAGTATCCTTTTAACTGAACAGTGAGATCACAGAAAGAATGCAACTAGAGACTTCAACCTCTCCTTGAAGCCGAACCCCAGGATCTGGAACAGGCCACACTGGCCACTGAGTCCATTAATGGTTTTGTGGAACGCACAGGTGCTGTGTGATTGCTTTCAGAACTCCGCAGGCACTCCGTTGAGCAGTGCACATGAGAATGGAAATTGCAGCCAGTTTTGTGTAATACTTGATAGATGTTAAAGAACTAAAACAATTTTTTCCTGATTGTAAAAGTAATATTAGGCACCATCTATTGAGTACTTACTATGTACCAGGTACATAGATTGCAGGATCTTTGAAAATACAGAATAGTAGAAAAACTAATTATCTCTAATGACCACTCAGTGAAAACTGCCAATAATAGTTGCCCTCACTTCTTTTCTACCCAAATAGTTAATGCTAAAAGAACAATAGTGATAAAATTGGGATCACACCTAATATTCAGTTCCGTATCTTGGTTTTGATATTTGACATTTTCCCCTTTATTGTTAAAAACAAATTGAGTCTCTGTCCTCCTAACAGCCTTGCAAAGGGCAGTTGCAGGTGAAGAAATGGGTTGGGTAGTCGTCAGCCTCTGTGATCTGTTTCCACATTGTATTTCCTTTCTGGCCTCAGTCTCCTGGTCCGTAAAATGAAGAGGGGTTCGAGTAAATGAGGAGGATGATATGTGTACAAAGCACTCCCTTAACAATGATCTCAGTTAAGTTTCACAGCAACCCTGGAAGGTGGGCTAAGCCAGTCCTTTTCAGGAGAGAAAACATTGTCAGAGAAGTTAATAGCTTGCTAGAACTGCAGGCCATACAGCTGAGGAGAGGCAGAGATCAAACCCAGGCTGGTCTAGCTGGCCTGGTTTTGCTGTCTCCTGGTTAGCACTGAAAGCCCTATGTTCTAGGAATGTCCTCGAGCTGCACAGTTGGTCCCTCTGTGTAGAACTCTAGAATTTATTTCTAACAGATTGCTGTGCACTGTACTAGTAGCCACTGTCGTTTTTGGTTGGTTTTCTTTTTTGTTTGTTTTTGGTTTTTCTTTGGTTTGTTGTGTTTTTTTTTTTTTTGGTTTTTGGTTTTTGGTGGGTTTTTTTTTTTTTTTTTTTTTGGTAAGCCTACACATTCATTCTCCTGGTAGAGTCCTCTGAGAGGCTCTCCAAAACTGTTACCCCATGAAGGAAGGAAGTGGTCGCTGAGGCAGGGGGACCTCAAGGGTGACTTGTTGAAGGTCACAGGGAATCCATGGACTGTAAGCTCAGGCCTGTTTCCCACTGGTAGCACAGCTTGTCCCCTCTTCTAGTCCATGCTGAGGCCTGTGGATGTCCCAAGAAGACCACCTAAAGTGAAGCCTCCCTGAAATCTTGGACGCTGGGCACATTCAGCTGTAGTGTGGGCAGCAGTCATCCCAGAGCCCTCAGAAGGGATGTTAGGCAGGCAGGCAGGCAGGCAGGATGATGGCCCCAAATTCTCCCCCACCCCTGACCCCTCTGCTCTTTGCAGGAGCTTTTCTGTGTATGTGGAGCCCTGAAGCGGGCTCGGCTGGTCCATCCTGGGGTAGCGGAGGTGGTCTTTGTGAAGAAGGATGATGCCATCACTGCATATAAGAAATATAACAACCGGTGTCTAGACGGTAAGTCCGGGAGCAAGCAGCTGCTTCACCTTCCCACTCCTCACTGCTGACTGTCAGGTGTCAGCCTTCAGAACAGGCCCTCCTCTGCAGTGGGTGGGAAGGCATCCAGGTGCAGCCGCCCTGCTGGGGCCTTCTGTGTACCAAGACCAGGCAGGGAGGTGCCGTCTGAGTGCTGATCTGGACAGCTGCCTGTCCCACAGGGCCCTGGGTGTCACCCTGCCCTAGCACTTTAGCTAGCTAGCAGGGAAGCACCATTTCTCCGTGGATGGTTCTCTTAAGGAGTGTTGGCAGGTATGCCAAGCACCGTAGCCTCCGCCTTCCACATGTTGGTTTGCTCAGTGCTAGGACACAGGCTCCTTAATGGCCTGGAGCCTTGTCTGAATGTTGGCACCTGGGTGAGCTCTGCTTCTGGTGAGTAAATTTCACTGAATTCAGATTCCCATTATTCATCTCAGGAAAGCCTGTGCAGAGGAACTCTGTCTGCCATGCTCCTTCTGTCATTTGTTCTTTCAGTGTTGAGTACCTACTGTGGAGCAAGGCCCTCTGCTAGCAAGGAAGGGCAGAAACTAATAAAATACCGTCAGTGGGGGTTTGGTTTGCATATCCCTGATGACTAACAATGTTAACCATCTTTTCATATGCTTTTTGGCCATTTGTGTATCTTCTTCAGAGAAATGTTTATTCAGAATCTCTGATCACTTACAAAAATTTTTTTTATTATTATTATTTTCTTTTATTAATTCCAGAGAGAGGGGAAGGGAGGGAGAGAATTATCGATGTGAGAAAGAAACATTGATCGTTTGCATCCTACATGTACCCTGATTGGGAATCGAACCTATGGCCTTTCGGTTTGCGGAATGACACTCAACCAATTGAGCCACACCGGCTAGGGCTCTTCGCTCATTTTTTTGAGTGGTCTTTTATTATTGAGTTTTAAGAATTCTTTATATATTCTTTTTAAAAAAATTATCGATTGATTTTACAGAGAGGAGGAGGTGGGGGGGGAGAGCCAGACAGACAGACACATCGATTTGTTGTTCCACTTATTTTTGCATTCATTGGATGATTCTTGTGTGTGAACTGACCTGGGATCGAACCCACAACCTTGACATATTGGAAGTTCTTTGTATGTTCTTGATATGAGTACCTTAGATAAACCGTTTGTCAATATTTTCTCCCATGATATAGTTTGTATTTTCATTCCTCTTTTTAAAATATACATTTCAAGTGATATATTTCCCTCTAACCACTGAATCAGCCACATCCCATAAGTTTTGATATGTTTTGTCTTTATTTCCAGTCATCTTGAAGTATTTTCCAATCTCTCTTGTGATTTTGTTTTTCTTTGACTCATTGGTTATTTAGGATTGTTTTATTAAATTTCTATATATTTGTGAATTTCCCAAATATTCTTCTGAGTATTTGGGACAATATATATTTTGCTGCTGTTGGATAAATGTCTGTGAGGCCTAGTTGGTTTATAATGTTCAAGTCTTCTGTTTCTTTGTTGATCTTCTGCCTGGTTGTTCTGTTCATTACTAAACGTGAACCATTAAAAGCTTGAACTGTCATTTGTTTACTTTTCCTTTCACCTCTGTTAGCTTTTACTTCATGTATTTGAGGCTGTTGTTAGTTGCTTATGTGTTTATAATTGTTCTCATGTTTTCTTCATGAATTTGACCCTTTTATCAGTAACAAAATGTCCCTCGTTATCTCTAGGTACATTTTTTGTTTTGAAATCTATTTTATTTTATATTGATACAGCACTTCAGGTTTCTTAGGGTTGCTATTTGGGTGCTATATCTTCTTTTACTTTCAACCTTTTTGTGTCTTTGAATCTAAAGTGTATCTTCTATAGCTAAAATATATCAGAATCTATTTCAGATTAATACTAACTTAGTTTCAATGAAAGATAGAAACATTACTTCTTTATTTCTGTCCCCTTTTTTTATGTTGTTTTTATTTAATGTTTAAATTTTTTTTAAAAAATTTATCTTCTTATTCTCCCAATCACATTTTATGTACAGCAGGAGTTCAGTACTCAGTACAATTAATCTTTCATGGCCAAAGTGGAAGTCTAGACATATACTTTTGGATCCTCTTTTCACTTGATTTCATAGCATAAACATTTCCCCTTACTAATTGCTACACAAATAAGGTCAGATGCCTTTACAATGAGTCCACTTTCTCCCTCCTCTCCCACTCCTCCCCTCCTGTGAAGCAAGGTCTGTTGCCACTTTGCTTCTTGGTGCTGTCATTGCCAAGGTGTCATGGACCTCACACCCTGGGCTTCTCTTAGTCCCTGGGCTTTGTTGGAACCTGGCAGCCACATCCGCACTGTGGAGCCAGAGCCGCCAGTGGTGGGTGTGTTGACTCTAGAGCTGCAGCTTTGTCCTTTTGTATGAGGAGCTGTGGTCTCATGGCAGAGCCCTTTTCTTTTGGTTTTTCAGGGCAGCCGATGAAGTGCAACCTTCACATGAATGGGAACATTATCACCTCAGACCAGCCCATCCTGCTGTAAGTTCCAGAGGCAGCGGTGCTGTGGGCCGGGTGGGGCTTTCTCCCCACTTGCTCTGCAGGATCACCTCTTTATCCTGAGGGATAAACTGCGTGCATCACAGCCCCACTCCGTCCATTTCCTGTGCTCTGGTGGCAGGCGGTCAACCAGGGTGCTTAGGTTTGTGCAAAGTGGCTTGTCTCGTTATGTCCACAGGGAATTGGCCTCGCAGGGGCTAGTGCTGAGACCTGTTCCCAGCCTAATAATTTAGAAACACCTGAGAAGAAACACATCACAGATGTGTCCCTCTTTGCAAAACTGGGTGCACTGTCCGAGGGAATGGAGAACTCCACCTCCTGTGATTGACTCTGCTGGAGCCGGTGCTGGTCGCTGCCCCTTGTTTTGTTTCACACACCGGGACATGCGTGCCTGGCCCAGGACTGAGATGCATAAAATGTCTAGACTGGCAGGACATCCTTACAGATAAGGAGACAGACTCAGGGAGGATAGTAGACTCGCCAAGGTGGGTGGGGTAGTGCAGTGCAGGCCTGAAATAGACTGCAATTTAAAAAGACCAAAATGTGAACCCCGGGTATTGAATTGTGTGATTTGGACAAGTTTCTTAAACTGTATTCCAGAACTAAGCTGTATTCTGAAAAGTGTGTCTCCTACGGCCTAGTAAGTTTGGGAACCACTGGGCTAAGCAGAGTTAAATTGATTTCTTCAGGACTTTTCAGAGTGTTTAATATTCTAATGTCCCCAGAGGGACGTGCATTGTTTTCTGAACTTAAAACTGCAGCCCACAAAAGGCTGCATCTCAGTTTTCTCATTGATCGTAGGCTTGCTGCAGATGAAATGTGATAAAGGGATACAGAAAGCTTATAACAGATGCTCAATAAATGGGAGTCCCTCCTCATCTCCGGGAAAACTCACAAGGGTTTTGACTCTTCACTGCTCTCCACAGACGGCTGAGTGACAGCCCCTCAGTGAAAAAGGAGAGTGAGCTGCCTCGCAGGGTGAACTCTGCCACCTCGTCCCACCCTCCTGCTGAAGTGGACCCAGACACCATCCTGAAGGCGCTCTTCAAGTCCTCAGGGGCCTCCGCCACCCCACAGCCCACAGAGTTCAAAATCAAGCTCTGAGTGGGGAGTGAGGCAGCCAGAGCGGGGGCAGAGGAGGGCGGCTCTGCTTCCCAAAGTGACGGTGGTGACCAGTAGGCCGTGGGGCTGGAGCCCCCGGCGGGGGGTAGAGAGCTTCCTCGCTGGACGGGACCGCCTTTCTGTGATGTGTTCTACCCTGTGCTCATTGTACGTTAACATTTCCTGTAGTGTGTTTCTTCTCCCTCCACCTTCTCACCAAGGTAGGTTTGTGTTGCTCCAAGTGTCTCCTACTGACCTCGGCCCCAAGCTGATTTCTTATCTGGAAATATGTCCTCAATTCTTTGCGTGGCTTTCTTGTGGCTCCATGGCACACAAGACACAGGGCAGGGGCTGTTTGAAGGACACTCTTTTCTCCAGGGGTGAGGGGCTTGCCCCCCCTCTTTCTTTTTTAAACTTTGCAAACAGAGTGGAGGATGGAAGCCCCTGCCATCCTAAAGGGGGCCAGGTCAGCTCCAGAGATGTGCCACTCACGTGCCTGGCCAGCGGAGATGGCCAGTGTGGGCATCGGCTCACAGGCCTCGACACAGTGTGGTCTGGGGAGGACCCTGCTGGCAAGGGTGGGGGGCTGCTACTCTGCTGGGAAGAGGGCGCCCCAACTCTTGGCTGGAGGGTCTGTGCCGCCTCAGGCAATGCAGAGTAAATCCCAAGGTCACATTTCCCTTTCCCACTGGGTTATGCCAAGGAGGGCTCCGCCACCTCTCGTGGCCTCTGGTCATCGCTGCTGAGAGGGCTTATGTTGCTGGCCCTTCAGGTTCTCACTAGCCCAGGGCTCATCACACCCTGGTTTCGCTTTTCCGTAGCTCCGTGACACGGGGTTTGGAGGACTATTGAAAAGGGAGGTACTGATTTGCTCCTGGCACTTTCTTTCTGGCCTCAGATGTCCGTAGGACAGTAGTTAGGGATGCTGGGAGTAGATGGGCAGCTGCCACCAAGGGGCACATTCTCCACTATTATAAGTGACCCGTCCATCTGTGGCCAGAGAGAGATTTTCCTGCCTTAGCAATGGGGGGAGAAAGGAATGGTGGGTGGTGAGGAGGGACTGAGAGAGTGAAACAGCCCTTTCAGGCAGGTGGGGGGTTGGTCCCTCAGCATGGTTCGAGGGAGCCGGGGCAAATTTGCAGACCCCGGGGGCAGTCCCGGCAGTATCACTCTGGAGTCATCGTCAGTCTGCCACTGGTTTGTTGGGACGCTTAAGGGAGCCCAGGCTGACAGAGCCAGAGAGAGTTGGGGAGCAGGATTCTGGGAGCTCTGCAGGGTCAGCAGCAAGTTCTGTGAAAGGCACAAGCCTAGGAAGGAAAGGGGGCCGAAGCACTAAGAGCCTCTGCTTGGGGCCAGCCCAGTGAAGAAAAACCGGGACACTCATGTTTCCACAGAGTTAAATCTGTCAAGCAGGAAAGACCCAGGGTTTGAACCCAGCTCAGTCCTCCAGCTCCGAGGTTGCACAAGCCTGGCCAGTCCAAGAAATCTGCCTGGTGGTGCTCCACCTCCCTGTTCTTAAAGAGCGCAGTTTTTATTCCCTTCTTCCCCCTTTGAATGGGTGCATACTTAGTTCTCAGCAGCTGGAAGACATTCCTCCTACGCGTCCCTGAAATTTCTTGGCCCAAGAGAGCACCGAAGACAGTAGGACCTGTTCTCTTGGGTCCTGAGGCCACTCTGGCCACTGTTCAGCTTTGGCTCTGAGTGGCAGTGGGAAGCGTCCTTCCTGCCCGCTGGTCCTACCCTGCCCCCCCTCCAGTCCCATGCCAGCTACTCTGTTGCCAGAATTTGTGGGGCCAGCTGCAGCCCTGGCCGCCCGGACCCAGTCCTCAGGAGAGCCTGTGGTGCGCTGTGGAATGAAGCCTGCCCGCCTCCCCCGGTCTGCCGGGTGGCATCCTGGGAGAGGGGAGAGAAGGCGGTGGTGGGCCAATCCTTGTGTTCCTCTCAACTTCCCGCTTCCCTACATTTCTCCATCTACTTTGTGTGTCTCTCAAAAGAAGAGGAAGAGGCATGAAGGGATGGAGGAGACTCTGTTACTTAAGACATTTCTGAATAAATGTTTGTTATTCCTACCTCTGAGCTGTCATTTCTTCAAAGATTTTACTAAGTGGTCTTGTGGGACTTGGAACCAGAAACAGGCAGTGGCCTTTGCTTTACGCTCACCAGCTCTGAGCTTGGGGCTGAGTTCCTCACAGCACACGCCACCCCCGAGTCTCCACAGCTGAGAAAGGGAGCGTCACTGTGGGAGCACCAGGCATGGGGGCTCACAGCCTCTGGGGCCCATGTGTCTTGCTGGATGTTGCACATGGTCAGTTCTGGCGGAGCGTTGGGTCTGGTGAGCCTGACAGATGGTTTTTGCTTGGTTTGAAGAAGTTAAACTCAGAAATTAACCTCTTAGATCAACTGTGCATTAGGAAAAAATCTTTTTCTTGTAGTAAGATACACAGAAATTGTACTGACAACTCATTAAGTATATAGTGCACTGGTGGTAAATCCACGCGTGGTCGTGTGCAAACCGTGCCCTTGTCCATCCCTGCCATGCTTCCACCGTGTAGGGCTGCAGCTCTGTACCCTCTAAACACTAGCGCCCCATTCTTCCTCTCCCCCAGCCCCAGCAAGCACCATTCTTCTTTCCTTTTTTGTGATTTTAACCATTCACATAAGTGAAGTCATACAGTATTTGTCTTTTTCTGATGACTTCTTTCATGTGGCATAATGTCTTCAGGGTTCATCTATGTTGGAGCATGTGTCAAAATTTTCTTTTTAAGGCTGAATAATATTTCATTGTGTGTATATACTACATTTTGCTTATCCGTTCACCCATTGATGGACACTTGGGTTGCTGCTGCGTTTTAGCTATTGTGAATAATGCTGCTGTGAACATGGTTTATAAATAACTCTTTCAGACCCTAGTTCCAATTCCTTGGGGCATTTATGCAGAAGTGAAATTCCTAGGTCATACATTAATTTTATTTTTAAGGTTTTGAGGAATCATCATTCCAATTTCCACAGCAGCTTCACCATTTGACATTTCCACTTCTGGGAAGAGGAAACTGGTTGGGAACCTTAGAACCCAACGAATGACTCCCACTGAGTTCCTTGGGTTTTCTTTTTGCTTCACGTATCCCAAATGGGATGCTGGAGAAGCAAACAAAACTACAACAAGAAAAACAAGGGCCTGAAAAGAGTGAGACTGAAAACCAGCCCCAAGCTTCACCAGCAAAGGCCAAATTGGGAGCCCTGACTTCCAGCCTCACTTCACTGTGTGAGGGTACCCCAAAATCTCCGCTGGAATGGCATCAAAGAAGGCCAAATGGGGAACTGGGATGTTTAGTTCGTGTCAGTGGACACCCCATGAGGAGGGGTGAGGCACCCTAACCTCTTCCATCCCAGGTGCTACCGGCAGATGTGTAGTGGGATGATGCCCCTCACAGCACCCAGCATTCACTAGGAGACACTCCTACCCTGGGTATCAGCGGACTTCATGAGGAACCTGAACTTCTCTCCGCAGCTGGCAGTAATGAAGTGGTGCCGTTCCATGCCCACCAGAGAAGGTGTGCTATGCAGAAGCTTTAAGTCAATCGGGAGTTTTCATGATGATACACAAGATGACCATATTTGAGTTGAAAGTCACTCATACAAAGGACGAGGAAGATGTCAACTTGAAAGAGAAAAGGTGACTCAACACGAAAATCTCAGAAATGTCGGAATTCTCTGACAAGGATTTAAAAGTAATTATAAAAAGGCAATTACATGCAATACAAGTGAAAAAATAGTTTCAGCAAAGAAATTGAAACTATAAAGAACCATTGAGAGTTGAAAAATACATTAAGAACCAGAAAAAAAACAATGGAGAAAAAGGAAAATCAGTGAACTAGAGAGAAAACTATAGAAAATACACAAGTTGAACAATAGAAATAAAGGACTTCAGGGACCTCTAACAATCTAAAATCTGGCATCAGTCCCAGTGGAGGAGAAAAAAGGGAAGGGCTAAAGAAGTTGAAGAAATTATGGCTGTAAACTCCCCAGAAATAGGAAAAAGATAAACTGAAGATTCAAGAAGCTCAGGGGCACCCAAACAAGATAAACCTAAAGAAAGTAACACCAGGACACATCATAATTAAACTTCTGAAAACTAAAGACAAATCGTGAAAGCAGCAAGAGAGAGGATGCCTTATTTGTAGGGGGAAAAAATTTGAGTGACAGCAGAGTTCTCATCAGGAACCATGAGTCCAGAAGGAATGGCACACTTTTCAGTAGTAAAAGAAAAGTACTGTCAACTAATTCCACTTCCAGCAAAAAATATCCCTCAGAAATTAGGGTGAATTTAGTCATTGTCACATGAAGGAAAACTAGCAGAATTTGTTGCCAGCAGACCTATCCTGAAATAATGGCTCAAGAAATCCTGCATGAGACAGACTCGTGGATAGAGAGCAGTCTGACAGCTGTATGTGTGTGTTGGTGGCGGGGGGTGGCGGGGGGATTGGCTGGGTGGAGGACTTGAAGAAAAAAGAAAAAAGTCCTGGCTGGAAAATTCAGTTGGTCAGAGTGTCATCCCAATACGCCAACTTTGCAGTTAAATCTTCAGTCAGGGCACATGCAAGAATCAACCAAGGAATATAAATAAGTAGAACAGCAAATCAATGTTCCTCTTTTCTCTTCCTTCTCTCTAAAATAATCAATTTAAAAAACTTAAACCTATATACACATCAATGGGATGGAATGGACAGTCCAGAAATAAAGCCTCACATACCTAGTCATTTAATTTTCAACAAGTATGCCAAGACAATTCAGTGGGAGAAAGAATAGTCTGTTCAATAAATGGTTCAAAGATGACTGGATACTCACAAAAAATAATTCATCAAAATTAAAAATACTTTAATGAACACCTTTATTTAGTGAAGTGTCTTATTCTGTAGACAACCTACAGAATACAAGAAAATACTTGCAAATCATAAATTTGTTGAAGGAATTGTATCCAGAAAGAACTCTTACATCTCAATGATAAGAAGACAACCTAAATGGGCAAAGGATTTGAGTAGACACTTGTAGGGAGAAAGAAGAAAAAGACAAGTGCCCAATGAGAATATGCAAAGAGGTTCAATGTCATTACTCATCAGGGAAATGCAAATCAAAACCCCAAGAGGCAACGTGGCCACTTGGATAGAGATAATTAAAAAGATGGACAATAACAAGTATTGGTGAGGATGTGGAGAAGGTGGAACCCTCATGAATTGTTGGTGAAAATATAAAATGGTGCAGCCACTTTGGAAAACATTCTGGCAGTTTCCCAAAAAATTAAACAATTACCATATGACCCAGAAATTCCATTCCTACACGATACCCAAGAAAAATTAGAACATGTCTGCGCAAAACTTGTACAGGAACATTCATAGCAACATTCATCACAGTCAAAATTACGAATAACCCAAATGTCCATTGACTGACAGATGAATGGATAAATGCAACATGGACTGTACATGTGTGGGCGTAAGAACATCCAAGCCTATAGCAAATTTTATGAGTTGTTTAGAGGTATTTGAGCCAAACTGCGGATATGCCCAGAGGTAAGCTCTCAGCAGATTGAGAAAATGCTCCAGAGAATGGCAGTTTGGCAGTTCTTTTTATGCATTTGGAATCAAAGGAGGAGACAAGAAGAGTACATGAAATCCATTGGTGGTACATGAAGGAGAGGGAGAAAGCAAAGCGGGAAATTTCTAGAATTGGATAAAAAAAATCAAATGAAGAGAACATACACAGTAAATAGGGATGATATAGTGGGAACAAGACCATATGCTCCGTTGAGGGGCCTAATGAAAAGGATTACTGTCGCATTCAAAAGTGTGTTAACCAAGACAGGGCTTATTTAAGGCAAAGATAAACCTTTTACTTAGGAAGCTGTAGGCCTGGAGAGTGACTACCCACCATGGCATGCTAGTTAGGGGACTTCTGATGAGATTACCCTGTGTAGTTACTTTTGGTCACTGAGCTTGTCATATTTATTTCATAGCTGCTGCTTCATTCACACATGCGATAGAACGTTATTCAGCCTTTAAAAGAAATGAAAACATACTAAATGAAATAAGTCAGACACAAAAGGAAACATACTGTATGATTCCACTTACATGAGATACCTAGGATAGTCAAATTCATAGATACAGAAAGTAGAATGGTGGTTACGAGGGGTTGGGGGAGGGGAAACATTAAGAGTTCCAGTTTGGGACAATGAAGAAATTCCTGAGATTGGCCATGGCAACATTTTCACAAAAACGTGAATGTACTTAATGCTACTGAATCCTACAGTTGGGAATAGTTAAAATGGTAAATTTGTGTATATTTACTACAGTTTTTTAAAAAGGAATGAAGTACTGATACAAGCTACAGCATGGATGAACATGTATTACATGATTCCATATATATGAAATGTCCAGAATAGGCAAATTCGCAGAGACAGAAAGTGAGAGTAGTGGCTACCAGGGGCTGGGGTCCAAGGATGGGAATGGGGAGTGATTGGGGTTTCTTTTCAGGATACTTGAAAATGTACTAGAATTAGATAGTGGTGACAATGACATGACCTTGTAAATAACCTGAAAACCACTCAAGTGTATACTTTATTTTTTTTTTTACCATTTTATTTTTTTTAGAGAGGAATGGAGGGAGAAAGGGAGAGAAACATTGATGGGGGAGAGATATAAATCACTTTCCTCTTCCACGCCCTCCACTGGGGATCTGCCCCACAACCTAGGCATGTACCTTGACTGGGAATCCAACCAGTGGCCTTTGGTTTGCAGGCCGGTGCTCAATCCACTGAACCTTGCTGGCCAAGGCAAATTTTGTTTATTTATTAGAGAGAGAGGAAGATAAGGAGAAAGGGAGAGAAACATGGATTAGTTGCCTCTCATATGCCCACAACCTGGAGCCTGGCCTGCAGTCCAGCCATGTGCCTGGACCGGAAATCAAACATGGAACCTTCCGGTTTGCAGGACAATGCCCAACGCAGGGAGCCACACCAGTCAGGGCATGTACTCTTTCAAACAGTTACTTTCCTGTCTGTATTGTATCTCAATAAAACTGCTATAAAAAACTGAAACAACAAAACTGTTTTCTTACTGTGCTGCAATTTGAGCAGGGCTCAGCAGAGATGGCTGATCTCTATTCCAAAGGGTCATGCATGTGGCTTAATTTCATCAGTTCAGCTGGGGTTAGAACATTTGATGCCTTAACTCAGGTGACCACCGCCTCCACTTCAGCATCTCTCCCCCTATGCAGTCTGTCATTCAGAACTCTAGAATGATTTTCTTAATACACCTGGATTCCAAAAGGGTGGAAGATAAAAGCTTAAGTCTTGGGCCTGAAAACCCCAGAGTATGAATTCTATTGTATTCTGTTCTCAAAGTAAGTCACAGGATTGGCCATACTCAAGAGGGCACATAGACTGCAGCTCTTGATGAGAGGAGTGGCCATTTTGGGAGAAAATCTCCAACAGAGACCATTCAAAGCTGAAACCGTTGGACCTTTGCTTCCAACAACAAGCAGAACTAGGTAATATGGGAAAGCTTCCCCTTACAAACACCTAGAAATTTTTCACATAACAACCTTCCTTCCACAGCAGTGCACCCATGAAAATAAGAATGGTGCAGGTACAAAAATAAAGAATCTGGACACTGGAATGTTAAGTTAGCAGTATTGGTCGCAAGAACTAAAATACTGGATTTCAAAGGCTGAAGAGGGGATGGGTGACAAGGCTATCAGCCCACACAGGAGCAGTGCTGGCACTTGTAGCCGTGCATCAGATTCCCTTAGTGGTGCCTGCTGGGATCACCTACCAAGTCCCCTCCTTGTGCCTGAATCCCTGTCCCCAGGTCTGCCCGCTGGTGGGAGAATGCACTCCGAACAGCTAGTACCAGAAGGGAGCCTGGGAGATCCTCGGAATTCGCATCTGGATTTGGAAGATCTCGCCAACCACGTGGCAACAGAGACCCAGCAGCCAATGGTAACTGGGGTGGTGTGGTGGATCAAGATGGCTGCAGGTTACTGGACATCCTTTGCTTTGGGAGGTGGGTCTGTGCCCCTCCGAATCTGAGTGGGCTCCATTACTGTTTTGACCAGACGTGACTCAGCCCGCCTGTGGGCCCGGACTTTGAGACCGGCAATATCCCGACTTCCTGCCCCTGGAGAGTCTCTGGGGTCCCAGAGCCACCAGGTAGGAGGCTGACTACTGAGCCCACATGCTGGGAAAGCCACGGGTGGATTCTCTCATCGACAGTCCCACACGAGCCCAGCCTCCAGCCATGCAGCTAAGGTGGCAGCCGTGTGAGTGAAGCTGACTTGGATCCTTCAGACCAGCCTATGTGGCAATTGGATACCGAGTAACCTCAGTCAATACTTTGTGGAGCAAAGGAATCACCTAGGTGAGCGCTGCCCAAACCCCTGAGCCACAACCTCTGGAGATACGAGAACTAGTTTCTTTTGAAGCAGTTCAGTCCTGGAGCAACAGCTCGTGGTGCAAACCCCTGTGCCGAGTCGTCACAAATGAGCAGTAGGACATCTCTTCTGCACGCAGATGGAGCACAGCTGGGAAGGCGGAGCATCGTCAAGGACAGCACCATCCTTCCAGCTGAAAGGACAGCGAAACTTGCAGTCGCCCTGGATTTCTCTTTTTTCTCTCACACTGCATATCCAATCTGTGGACAAATCCTATTGGAATTCTTCACACATACCCAGAATCTGACCAGCTCTCATCACTCCGACGGCCACTTCCCTGGTGACCAAGCCTCAGTCTTTCCCCTGGATTATTGCTATAGCGTCCTATGCGATCCTGCTGCCGCCCTTGCCCTCCAAGCCTAACTGCAATGTAACCCCGCAAATGACTGTTTAAACATCACCTGTCACCACTCCCACGGTGGCTCCATGCTGCCCAGGCAGAGTAACCAAGTGCTTCTGGTGGTCTACCGGATCCCAGGGGTCGGCCGGGGTCGGCCGGGGTCGGCCGGGGTCGGCCAGGCTCTGCCCCTCGGGGTCTCCTCTGGCTCCCTGCCGCGCAGTCTCATTGCTGTTTCCTAGCACCGCGGGGAGGCTCCAGCCTTAGAGCCTCTGCTCTCGCCGTTCCCTCTGCTCAGATATACCCTTCTCCCAACACCTGAATGCCTTGCTCCCTCAACTCCTTCAAATACTCGTTCAAACATCACTTCATTGAAGCCTTCACATCCCTTCACCACACTCCCCCTCTTGCCTCTTTTCTGTTTAGTACTGTCCATTGATGCATACGCTTTCTATTTTGCTTCTCTGAGTAGTTGTTGTTCCCCGTTACAATAAAACTCCAGGATGGGTGGATTTTATTTCACCTCTGTATCTCTAGCGCTTAGGACAGTGCCTGGAACACTAGCTCATTTATTTGGCGGAATCCATGAATGAATGAATGGAAAGGTGAGTTCTCTCCCGAGAACGGCCGCCATCCTAGCCTTCACTTACTTGCACATTTATGTGCTGACTTTATTCTGAGCAAAGGAAGGTTGGGCTCTGGGGCGACCCGGGCCAGAAAGGCGAGCCTGTCCTGAAAAGGGCGGGAACCACACGCGCCGCCGTCGTCATGGAAACGGACGGCTCCCAGCTTCCAAATACAAGTCCCAGCGACCCGCGCGGCTTCCGGTCGGCAAGATGGTGGCGCGCAGGAGGAAGCGTGTGCCGCGAAGCTCTGAGACGGCGATTCCGAGCCCTCCGGGCTACTCAGGTGAGGGGCTGCGGGGCCGGGTACGGGCAGGCTTCGCCGAGAGACGGCTTGGGGGTCGGCGGCGGCGGCGGTAGGTTGTGAGGTCCCAGGTTTCCCCCGGGAGACCCACGGCGCGCCGTGCTGTCATCTCGCTGGCCTCCCCGGAGACGAGCCCGTTAGGCCAGCGCTGCCCTTGGGAGCACTGCCTTGTCCACACCGTGCGCAGGGCGTGTTGCTCCCCCTGCCCCCTCGGGGAGCGCCTGTGCGTCTCCTGACGTCTTGGCAGTTCCTAGTGCGGCCCCCAACAGCTCCCTCCAGGGCGGGACGTTCCCTTCTCATTGCTTCCCCGGCTTCTGTTTTTGCCCCCGATTTTGTTCTCCTCGCAGGCGCCTCAGGGTTCTTTGGGAAGTGAGATTTAAATCAGATCTGGCCTCACACGCCCATTTCTGTCCCCCCACCCAAACCCCCTGAAATCCCTCCAGCGGCTCCCGGTAGCACCTAAAGCCGCATCCGAAGGCGTTACCCTTGACCCGCGTGGCCCCACACGTCCTGGCCGGTGCCCTCTCCCCCCGAGTTCCTGCCCCAGCTGTGCCCTGACTCTTGCCCGCTTTGTGTCGCTGCCTCCCTCACAGGGGCCTTCCGGATGGGTCTCTAAAGGCCTCTGCCACCTGTCTCTCCGACTACTTCTCCCTGTTCCTTTCGTATTGGTAACACCTCGTTTCATGCCTGCCTGTTCGCTGGCTTCCCCCATTACCCTGTGAGCTTCCTGAATGCAGGGAAGCTGTATCCCCACTGCACTCTGAAGAAGATGGTGACAGAAATGGAAAACCACCCCTAGTTTTATCAGGATTAAAACGTTATGATGCCCTGGCTGATGTGGTTCAGCTTGTTGGAGCGGTCTTTCCTAAACTGAAACGTCGCAGGTGCGATTCCCCGTGTGGGCACATGCCTAGGTTTCAGCTTTGTCCCCGGTCGGGGGGCGGGGGAGGGGGGGCATACAGGAAGCAACCGAGCGATTTTTCTCTCTGACGTTGATGTTTTTCTCCCTCTCTCCATCCCTTCTTGTCTCCCTTTGAAAAAAGAATGGCATATGGTCGACTCTCCAAATAATAATACAAATACAGACTTAAGACCTTAAGGGGAATTATGAGGGCACAGAGCAGGTGGGTCTAACCTGGCACATACGCCAAGTGGTGGGGGAGGATGATATGCGAAGAGGTGGCCCGGGTCAGCTGGGCCTCCAGCGACGGTAAGGACTTTGGCGTTTGCCCCGTGAGCGGCAGGGGTTGCCTCTCCTCTCCTTTCAGTCCCCTGCTGTATTAATTGCCAAGTTATGTTCTGTCTCCTCCACCAGCGTGGGTGCCCCTCCTGGGCAAACTCTTTGCTCATTCACTCTAATAGCCTGCATAGCTCTGTGCACAGGCCTTGCCTAGGGAAAGGGCTCGGTGAAGGATGGGTGGGTGGACAGAGAGAAGGGACTAGAAAGGGACAGCCCTCGCCTGATTTTCATGCCATCCCTCCCTGCTCCTTCTCCCTTCCAGCCGTTCCGATCAAGTTCTCCGAAAAGCAGCAGGCTTCTCATTATCTGTATATGAGAGAGCACAGAGTTCGGGAAGGCACCAAGTGTTCCTGGCCTCAGAAGAGGACCCTTTTTGTCCTCAATGTGCCCCCGTACTGCACAGAGGTGAGTGGTGTCTGGGAGGGAGTCTGTATGCTCAGGTGGGGCTTTAAGCAGAGTGTGGCTCCCACTGGCCACCACCAAGACCTTAGTCTGACACAGAGGACGATAACTAAAGGCTGTAAGGAAGGTGGCCAGAGGGCAGTCGCTCTCTCTTGACAGGGAATTTGCTTTTGAAAGATGTGTTTTTAAAAATACAGTTCTGTCCTGGCTGGTGTGTCTCAGTGGATTGACTGCCAGCTTGCGAACCAAAAGGTCAGGAATTCAATTCCCAGTCAGGGCACCTGCCTGGGTTGCAGGCCAGGCCTCTGGTAGGGGGCGCACGAGAGGCAACCACACATGGATGTTTCTTTCCCTCTCTCCTTCCCTTCCCCTCTCTCTAAAAATAATAAAATCTTTTTAAAAATACAAATCTAAGGAATGCTAAGCTATTTATGATTACCTAGAATTGTTACAATGCATGTTGTTTTTCCCTGGTAACACTAGTGGTGCAAGTCCATAGCAAACAATAGGAAAAGTATAAGAAAATAAAATTACTTCTAAATCTGTCCAGACATACAAACTTTTTTTCACAAAACTGTTAAATTTAATATTATGTAAATTAACAGAAACTAGTTTTTTTCAAAAAAGAAATCAGTGTCTATAAGATTATAGTTTTAAAAATTTAAAAATAAAAGATTGCAGTTAAAGGGAGAAAAAGCCACGAAGAGGTTAGGGTGTCATTTTTAACCTGTACTCTGGAGCAGTGTATGTGTGGAGGAGGGTCCGGGCCGAGATGTACAGCCTGAGCATTTCACAAACTGAACACGCCCGTGTGATCAGCACCCAGACGGAGAAACATGATCACCCGCACCCGAGAATCCCCTTGGGCCCCTCCCCCGTCCATCTAAGCAGCATCCTGATTCCAACAGGATAGATTTAACTTGGTTTGGAAGTGGCTGATTCAGGTGGTACAACTTACTTGGTTACCTGATAAAGTCAGAATACTCAGAATAACACTAAAAATGTCCTCACCTAGTCTTGTAATGATGTTTCTTAAAACATTGAGGACCTACGCCTACTTTTGGGATCATTTACCTGGAGAAAATGATAGGAGAGATGGATCTGTCAGCAGGATGCGGTTTCAGAGTGAGAAGTCCCTTTCACTTTGGTGAGAAAACCAAGTGCATCCTGGGCACGTGCTTTCCGAACGGTCTTGTCTCAAAGCCAAAAAACCGATCCCTGAATTCCATGCTCACTCTGGCCCGCGGAGCTGTGCTTTTTTACCCACAGGCTTTATCATGATGACTGAGGAGTTTTCTGCCTTGGGTCCTGGGAGGGTAGGATTCTCACCTCCCCGCTGAGGCGGCGGTGGCTTGCCCAGGCCCTCCCTGCACACCCCTGGCCTGGACTTGGGCGCAGATGTGGGGCCGCAGGCCTGCGGATGTGGAGGGAGGCGCCTGGGAGGCCCTGCAGCCGCTCACGCTGTGCTTCCTGGGCTGTGGCAGGAGTGCCTGTCCCGCCTCCTCTCGCCGTGTGGCCCCGTCCAGTCAGTGGAGTTACGTGGGAAGCCTGAGCTCGCCGAGAGCCCGAAGGAGCCAAAGTCGAAGTTTTTTCACCCCAAGCCCGTTCCGGTAAGCCCCCAAGCGCTGGGGTCTGCTAGACTGGGGGCGTGTGGTCGGACTGGGCTGGTGTCCCCGGCATGGGAGGGGCATGGGAGGGGAATGCGGTGCCGGGTGGCAGTGGGACGTCCAGAGCATTCCCTGCGCTCTTCAGGGGGGCTGGCAGGTAAACAGCCTCCACGCCTTACCCCAGGCTCACCTCATCCTTCAGCTTCCGCTGGCTCCGTCCGTGGTCCTGGGTCGAAGCTCAGAGACCATTCCTGCCCCTGCCCCGAGGGCCTCCCTGAGCCGCCCAGCTGCAGTCACTGCTTCTCGGGCTCCGTGGCCCCATTGTCATTTTCCTGTGTCCCTTGAGCCCACACCTCCTCCCGGGGTAGCATGCCCATCCCTTCCTGACCTAGGGTGAGCGCGCTTTTCCTGAGTGCCTCCCGTTGCTGAGATGCAGGCCTCTGCTGGAAACAGGTCCCTTCTAGCACAAGGAGGGTAACTCGGAGCACAGCCATCCCACCCCTGGGTTCGGGACAGCCTCCTGGTTATCCTCACAGTTTGGGGACAGCCTAACATGCCTCCCCAGTCCAGGGCCAAGTCTGGCTGCGGGTAGGCGCGACCCCTTGTGCTAGGCGCGGGTGGTTGGAAGAACGGGAGCGTTCCCAGCACTGTGACGTCGCTGCCTCCCTGCAGGGGTTCCAGGTAGCCTACGTGGTGTTCCAGAAGCCCGGTGGGGTGTCAGCTGCCTTAGCCCTGAAGGGCCCTCTGCTGGCCTCTACAGAGAGTCACCCCGTGAAGAGCGGCATTCACAGTCAGTACTGCGGGAGGTGTGGGCGCCTCCTTCCTGGACCCTGGGCTGGCGGGGAGCTTTGTGGGGGCAACGCCCGCTATGTTCACGGGTCCCGAGAGCAGCATGAAGGAGGCCCACGCCTGGCACTCAGGGCAGGCAGAGCTGAGGGACCGGCGTGCTGCCACCGGGGCCGGCCTCACCTCCTGAAGCCTGAGCTGTAGTCTCTGCGCCTGCGGCCGCTGTAAGGCCATCCCAGCTGGCCTGGCAGGTCCTGGGGTGGGGCCGCAGTGTCAGCCTGAGGAAGCCCGTCTCCCTCGCCCCCTTCTTCCACAGAGTGGATCAGTGACTACACAGACTCTGTGCTGGACCCGGAGGCCCTGCGGGTTGAAGTGGATACATTCATGGAGGCGTATGACAAGAAGATAGCCGTGGTAGGGCTTCGGGGGGTGGCCGCTGCAGGGAAGGTGGGGCCACAGGTGTCCTGGTATGGCTCCTGAGGGGCCGTGGGGGTACGGCCTGTCCTGGTCTTCCACAGTCCAGACTTCCCTTTTCCCTGCTGAGTCCTGGGCCACCTGACTTGGTGACATGTAGTCGCTAGGTCTGTAGGGAAGGAATGCTCTGAGGGGAGAGGAGGAGGCAGTGTTGGAATGTCTGCCCCTCCCACCCCAGCTTGGGCACCAACGCTGTGCAGGGGCTGGGGGATGGGAGCAGCAGGTGCCACTGGGTGCCGGGTTCTCTGTGTGTGGGGTGCGGGAGCCTGAAGAGAGGGGAGGGTGAGAGGGGCTCCTGAGGCTGCAGGGTGGGTCCCAGGTGCGATCACAGGGTCACGTTCCTCACAGGAGGAAGCCAAGGCCAAGGAGGAGGAAGGGGTCCCCGATGACGAGGGCTGGGTGAAGGTGACCCGCCGTGGCCGGCGGCCCGTGCTACCCCGGACGGAGGCAGCCAGCCTGCGGGTGCTGGAGAGGGAGAAGAGGAAGCGCGCCCGCAAGGAGCTGCTCAACTTCTACGCCTGGCAGCACCGCGAGACCAAGATGGAGCGTAAGGACGCACCCCCAGTCCATCCATCAGCCCCTGTGCCCGCGGCCCCCGGCACCGTGGACAAGGCCCAGAGCCCCGAGGCAGGCGCTGGACCTGGGGCTTGGACCAGGGTGACTTAGGCCCCGACTCCCCCACAGCCTTTGGGGTTGGGGTCCCAGCGCAGCAGCACCTGTGTGCTGGTCCCCCCGTTTCTCCCCGGAGGTTGCTCTGGGGGCCCCTGGATTACTTAGGAGCTGTGGCGGAACCTAGGCTGGAGGACCCACACAGCCAGGCCCCTGAGCAGTCAGTGCCGGTGCCGGATCGCAGAGGGTGGACCTCAGGTGTTGCCCGTGGGTGCAGAGAGGGCTGCTGCCCTGCGTGCGTGGGTGCATGTGGGAGGCACCCGCGTGTGGAGAGTGCCTTGGGGTGAGCACCTGAGGGCTTGCTGCCGGCTCCAGGCCGGGAAAGCCGCCTGGTCCCCCTCCTTGCAACACAGCTTCCCTGTGGTGATGCGTGACGCACCACCTGGCCACTGCTGCTCCCTCCACTCTGCCCGTCCTCCTGCCTCTCCGTTCCTGCCCTTGCCCCTCTAGACTCACCCGGCAGTGGGCCTCTGGGCCCCACAGAGCCCCTCGGACCCAGTCACCCAGGGACCAGAGCTGCCCTCTGAACTCGGTGGCATTCTGAAGTTGGGGCCCTTTACTCCTCCCGAGTCTGATCGCTGCGGTGGAAAGGGGCTGGGAGAGGTGTCCCCGGGAGTCTCCCCGCACCCCAAGTGTCCTCTTCACTTGCCTTCGGGTGTTTTGGGGCAGGAGCGAGGAAGGGAGAGAGGGACTTTTAGCTTGCTGTCCGCCTTGCGGTGCGTTTTGGGTCTCACAACCGGGCAAGCCGTTTTCTCCCCTTAAGCCCCTGCCCTCTGACTGGGCCTGCAGCCCCCAGACACAACAGGGAGGCACTGCGGAGCCCCCAGCTGGGAGGGGAGCCCTGGGGAGGGGCGGTGGGGTGCGACCTCCACAGGCCCGTTGTCTGATCCAGGCCGTGTCCCCCTTGCCCCTCACACCCCAGATCTAGCACAGCTGCGCAGGAAGTTCGAGGAGGACAAGCAGAGGATTGAACTGATGCGGGCCCAACGCAAGTTCCGTCCCTACTGAGCCAGTAGGTGGGTGGTGGACGGCCAGCGAGGGTGTGAGGGCCAGGACGTCGCCACACTGCCCAGGCGGAGGGGCTACCGATCAGACAGCACCAAAGACCTGAACCCACACAGGCGGGATGGAGGACAGCGTCCCCACTCGGTCCTTGTGCTTCAGGAAGCCATGGCCCCAGGAAGGGACACCTTCCCAGAAGATCCTAGTCTCTTGCCCGATGTCTCCGGATCCCACTGTGAAAGCTAAGTGCCTCCTCTATTCTCTTAAGTCCCTGGATGGAAAACCCCCACTGCAGTGAGAGCCTCAAAGCCAGTGAGACGGAGACACGAAAGCAATTTAATCCCTGTGACTCAGCAGGAAAAGGATGCAGGGCTGCAGGCGGGGGGCGGGTCTATCCTGCTCCTCCTTCCTGCGGCCACTGCCAGCTCCCTGCAGATCATCCGCAGCAATACAGAGCGACCCCTAAGTAAGACACAGTCCTCCCTGCCCACATATGGGAGTAAAAAATGTCACCCTGCACCTCTACTCTGCCAGCTTTTACAGGTCATGATTTGTCAAGCCTGGCCTGGCTAGGGGCCTTGGGAACTCGGTGTCTGTGTAGCTGATGCCAAGGGCTCCAGCTGGGCCTGGAGCCTGTCCTCGCTTTCTAAGAAGGAGCTGACCACACCGGCCACGCGGTTGGGCTGCTGCATGTGCACGTAGTGATTGCCTGGGACTTCCACATACTGGAACCGCTGGAGAAGGGAGGGAACGGTGGTGAGGTGTGGCCCAGAGAGAGGGGGCGGGGCTTTCCTGGGCTCTGCTGCCTGCCCCTGGTGCAGGAGTGTCCCCAGGGTGAGTGGTGGGACGGTGACAGACTGACCCAGAGCTCCCAGGGCCCCAGTCTTTGTGTTGCGCCCCGTGGGCGGCTCAGACCCCTGCTCTCAGTGAGAAAGGCCGGGTCTGGGGGGGGCCATGTGCACCCCTGGGCTCTGCGCCTTTCTGAGTTCGGAGCTCAGGGCCGGTGGTGGGGCTGCTGGCAGCGCCGATCATTGCATAAGGTCCACTTGAGAGAAGAACGAGGAGTTGGTCACACTTGTTCCTGTGGGGGGCAGGGGGGGCGCCCACGGGATGGGCGGGCACCGCCTGTTGGCTGGCCAGCCACGCCCAGGCTTCCCTTGCCTGAGGTCGCCGAGGTGCCTCCGGAGGCCCCTGGCTCAGGTGTTCAGGTGGATGAAGAGCATAACATGACAGCTCCTCCCCGGCGATGAAGTGACAGCACACATCCCAGCCCTCCAACGTGGAGGCCCGCCCGGACCTGCAGCCAACACCCACTCGGGGGACGGGTCATGTGTCCTCTGGGACCCTAGAAAATTGTGGGATGGCCTCTGGCTGTGCAGGGCCTGGTCCACTGGGTGTGTGAGGACAGGAAACGGGGAGCGTCAGCCGGGGAGCGCCTGCACTGAGTTCCCTGTGACCTCAGCTCTGAGTGTGGCCTCATAGCTCCTGGGGGTGGAGGGTGGTGAAGGGGCCAGGGGTCACCTGTTAGACCCGTGGCTGAGCCAGACTAGGATCCTAATGCAAGAACAGACACGGCATGGCATAGCCCTGCGGGCCCGTTGCCCCCTCTGGGCCCCAGGCACCGTGAGCCCCGCACCTACCTCTTTTAGGACTGATTTTAGCGTGTCAACCATGAAAACCACAGGCTCCTTTTTATTGTCGTTCTCTCTCCTCACATCGTAATATCCTTGCAGTGCTCTGGAAAACGAGAAATCAGGGTTCACCTCTGGTGTGCTTCCGGACAGCGCCCTCCACCCGGCCCGGGCTACCCTCGGCCATGCCCACAGCCGGGTGCCTTGCGCCCAGATTTAATTCGGGATTCAGCCATGTGGTGCCCCCCACACTCAGACTCCTGGGAGCCTCCTCTGGCCACTGTCACTGAGGGGCAGAGCCAGTGTTTGGCCGGACTCCACGCCTTTTCTTCCTTTTCGAAAACAATAGCATAACCAAGATAAGTCCTCCCACTTTAACTGGGTGATTCCATGGCAGCGCAGTCGGTGGTGCAACCATAGCCACCGTCGATTCAGACCTTTCTATCCCCTGAGAGCGCACACCCCCCGCTTGCGCTCCCTCTTGCACACGGCTGCCTCTCGCACAGGCACTGACGGACTCTGCCTGCCGTTCCCCTGCGTGGGCCTGCACGGGAACGGAGTCCTGTGCTGTGTGGACTTCGGTGGCGGCTCTCACGGAGCGCCGGGCACCCAAGGTCTGTCTGTGTGCAGCCATGTACCACTGTGCCACTCCTTTTCGAGGCCGAATCGTGTCTGCTGTGCATAGACTGCATTTGCTCGTGTCCTGTGGACAGACTTTTGGGTTGCCTCCACCTTTGGTCCTTATGACCATGTGGCTCTGAGCCATCGTGGGCGCTTGTGTGCACATGTCGGGCCTCCCCCTAGGAGTGGAAGTGCTGAGCCGGAGGGTCCTAGTGGTGACTTCCTGGCTCCAGACACTGCCGGACTCTGCCAAAGTGGCCCCATAGCGGCGTGTAGGGTTCAGACTCCTCCCCAACCTGTGGACCGACACGTGTCTCGCGGTTGGAGTCCAGCCATCCTCGTGGGCGTGCAGTGGTTTGGATTTGCCTAGAGAATCCGTGTTTTCTAAACCTGAGCTCAGCACCAGGAACACGGGTGTGTCCTTGGGAGTCACAGGCCCCGCCTGGGTGTGGATGGTCCAGAATGCTGCAGTGGAGTGGCGGTGGCATCTGAGCCACATTAAAGGACGTTCATGGCTGTGAGGGACCCTGAGTGGGTGGAATAGTAATGGCTGCGTGCTGGCCTGGCGGGGAAGGCAGGCAGAGGAGGAGCTTGGGCCTGGGAACATGAGGGGCCCAGGAGGGCTGGAGGGCTGGGGTGCCCTCCACTGTCCTGTGCTGAACAGCGTGGAGTCCTCCCCGGCCGGTGCTGCCCACGCCCTCCCATCGCTTTGCCCTCCTTCCGCACAACCTGCTGCCGGAGGTTTCCCAAAAGCAGTGTGGTCTTGCACTGGGAGAACTAGGGACCTCACGCCAGGGACACCTGGAGATCCCCAGTGCCCACAGCTCCTCGGGTGCTGGGTTCAGACTTACTTGATGAGGAGGACACGGGCCTGCAGCTTCTTGATGAAGAGGACAGCCCGTTCTCTGCTGACGAATTCCATGCAATGCTCGAGCTGCGGAGACAGCACAGTGAACTCCAACCACAAGGCACTGCTGTAGGGGCGGGGCCCACCTCTCCTGCGGGCTTTGGAGCCTGGTTGGGCCACTTTACTCATCAGCCTCTGAGCACCCCGTCTCCCTGTTTTATGACCATTTAGGGAGTTCAGGTCTCTGCTGTCTCTCACAGTGACCGGGAACCACACGTGACTATTGAGTGTTGAAAAAGGAGCTGGTCCAGGTTGGGAGGCACCGCCCTGTAAATCACATGGTGGACTTAGAAGACTTCGTGTGAAAAAATGTCAACTATCTTAATCATGTTGTTTTCTGAAAGGGATGGAGACATCGATCAGTTGCCTCTCCTACCCCCCCAGCCGGGCCCTTGGCATGCACACCAGGCAAACGCCCCTGCTGGTATTTGGGTTGCAACCCCTCGGTTCGCATGTTTTATATTGATTTCAAGCTCAGATGGTAATATCTTGCATGCTTTGAGTTAAAAATGTCGAAAGTTACTTCCCCTGTTCCATTTTTACACCTTGAATATGGCTACTGGAGATTTGAAATTACATGAGGCTCCCACTGTCCTTGTATTGAGCTGTGCTGCTTGCTCTGAGGACACCCAGGGCAGCAGAATTTCTTCTGTGTCCGTGGCTCAGCTCGCAGCCTGACAGGAGGGTCAGTCGTATTCAGTGGGTTAATTCAAGACTGACTTTCCCAGCTGGTGTGGCTCAGTGGATTTAGTGTCGGCCCACGAACTGAAAGGTCTCTGCTTGGATTCCCAGTCAGGCCACATGCGTGGCTTGCAGTACAGGCCCCCAGTTAAGGGCGTGCGAGGGGCAAGCGACCAATGGATCTCTTTCTTGCACATCATCTATTTTTCTCTACCTCTCCCTCCCTTCCCATTTCTCTAAAAGTGAACCCCTCCCAGTCCCTTCCTGTTCCTCAGGTTAAAATACCCTGGGTGCTCTGCCAGAAACAGGTTCCCGTGTCCAGGAGGCCAGATGAACTGAGATTTACCAAAGACACAGACATGCTCCCTGTTACCGCCCCTCAGGGCTGAGCACACAGCTTAAGGAAAAGATCAGACCAGCCCGAGGTTGGTTACCGGGTGGGAGTGGCCCACCGGGGCCAGTGGTCATGTCCGGATTAAACTGGACGGCCCCCAGGCTGGTGTGGCTCGGTGGGTGGGGCGCCAGCCTGCGAACTAAAAGGTCTCTGGTTTGCATCCCAGTCGGGGCACTGGCCTGGGGGCAGGCGAGAGGCAACCAGTCGATGTATCTCTTGCACAGAGGTGTTTTTGCGGTCGTCTCATCCTCCCATCCCCTCTCTAAGGCCTTGAGTGGACATCAACATGCCATGTGAATGCGTAGTCAACAGCTGACAGGAGGTGGCGCCAAGATGGACCTCCGGCCTGGCTCCCAACCTGGTGCTCTGCACCCCTGCTCTGGGCCTCTCGGTCTCTTGCTTTACTACCTTCTGCCAGAACTGGGCTCTCTGGCTTTAGGGCTCAGTCAGACCCTCAGTTAACATTTGTCAGGCACTGTGGTTCACCGGCGTCCCAGGAGGTGGAATGAGCATCTACGAATGTTCCCTCACCACCAAAAAACCAACCACATTGCTGCCTGGAGAGTGACGTGGGTCAGGCCAGGGGCCCTGCAGGGACGCTCCCGGAGGACAGCTTTCCCTCCAGGGACCTTCACGACCCCACTGGCTGGGACTGCAACAAGCTCCGGCCCCTGGGTCAGCATGCAGAAGACAGACCGCAGCGTGTGGGCCTCAGTGGTTGGGAGGACCTGCCGGCTGTTCATCTGGCACCTCACACCTACCTCACACGATTTGTGTTTGTTTTTGTGGGTTTGGTTTTTGTTTTTTGTTTGTTAAGTTTCATAAGTTTATTTGAGCCAAACTGAAGATGTCTCTCGAGGAGCAAGATCTGAAATGCTCCCACCTGACACCACTGTTAAGAACAAATCCCAGTTGGATCAAAAACAAAACTCAGACATTCCTGTCCCCTTGGCTGATGCCGTGGTCCAGGCCTCAGGGCCAAGCCTGGCTCAGGGCCACAGCTCTGGATGTCCCGAGATGCCTGCCTGTAATGACAGTGTCACGCATGGGCAAAGCATTTCACCCTCGGGAACAGTTGAGCAATAGCACCGTCTGTGGGCGCCTGAGGTGACAGCACTTTGCCAGTCTTCACAGCAGCCCCACAGAGGCAGCTCATTTGTTACTATCACGGGGGAACAACGAAGGAATGATGGGATGTGCTTCCTTTGCATGCACGTCAGCTGTGGCTCAGAGAGGGTAAGCGCCTTGCCCAGGGTCACACAGCCTCTGTGAGGGAGACAGGGCTGAGTTTCTGCACCTCCAGATCTCCACGCTGGCGGCTGGTTTCAAAGGCCCCTTGTTATCCAGCCCCTGTCCCCTTTGGTCTTCACAAAAGGAGCTCCATCAATAGACACCACCCAGACTCTACCTGTGCAGCAAGCGGCAGGAAGTCGGCGGAACCTCCTTCCCCAGCCCTGGGCCCAGCACAGTTCCCACCTGCTCTCAGAAACTGCTGACCGGGACCTGGCCATGCAGCTGGAGGGGAGTGTCCAGCTGGGGAGCTTTGCTCACAGTGCCTGCTGAGCTCAGGCCCCTGGTGCCAAAAAGGCTGGGGACCGCTGTTACTGAGCACACCCCTCCCTGCTGCCAGCCGCCGTAGGGGCTCCCACTGCCCTTGCACCGAAACCATTTAAGCATTTGCAACCGTGTATGCAAAAACCTAAAGAAACGACCAAAAAAGGGGTCCCTGAACCAAGAGTCTCCGCTTCTACTCACAGGCAAGTCTGCTTGCAGCGGGCTGAGGACGGGTGGACTTTTATATTTTGCTCTTCGGGCACCTGCATGCAGAGGGGTTTGTCTTTCCAGTTAGGCAGGTGTGAAGCCCTCGCAGGCCGCGGTGTGTCAGCCTAGTTTCCTCGCCGTCACGTGTGGGGGACTAGAGCTCCTGCCTCCAGGGCTACAGTGTGGACTGAGCACACACACTGGAGGCAGCGGGGCATGGGCAGCGGGGCCAGCGCCCGGCCATGGCCATCTTGCCTTCCTTGCAGGGGCAGGGGCAGCGCCAGCCCGCCCCCGTGGGGACACTTCTGGACTTCAGGAATCCGCCCCAGCCCCGGCCACTAGGAGACCAATGATTCCAAAGAGGCCACACACCACTTCACGCCCAACACAATGAAAGTTAAAAACAGAAAAAACAAGTGTTCACACGGATGTGAAGAAACTGGAACGCGTGACCATTGTGGAGGGAATGTGAAATGGTGCGGCCACCTGGGAAACGTGGGTGGTTTCTCAGAAGGGTAAACAGGGTTATCATGAGATCCAGCCATTCCACTCAAGAGCTCTGTATCCAACGGAGTTGACAGGTGGACTCAGACCAGTAACGTGCAACCTGCGTTCACAGCGGCCGTGTTCACAGCGGCCGAAAGGTAAAACGAGTGTGTCCACCGAGGGATGAACGGCACGGCCGTGCAGTGGGTGTTTTTCAGCCATAAAAGAAGTGACTTCTGCCACATGGAGAAACCGTGGAAACATGATCTCAGTAAAAGCAGCCAGACACAAAGGCCACACACTGCATGATCCTACTGTATCAGGTCCCTAGAACAGGCAAAGTTGGACAGAAAGCTGGAGGGTGGCTGCTCTGGCCCAGCGCAGGGAGATGGGGCGATAGTGTTTCCTGGGTAACGGGTTTATATTGGGGACAATGTAAACTTATGGGGTGGAGATGTTTGCATAAATAGTGCCACTGCATTGTACACTAAGGAATGGCTTAGGATGGTAAATATTATGCTGTGTGTATTTTGCCACCATCAAAAAGAAAAAAAAGAGACTGGTGGAGGAAGCAGAAAGCCAGAGGCACTCACCAAATCCATCCTTCGGTCTCTGTTCATCACTACACCTGAAAGAGAAGTCAGACAGTGGCCTCAGCGTCTCCTGTCTGGGTGAGGGGACCCTGGGCCCCACTGGCCAGCGCTTTACTTCTTTCCTATGTGCCTCCCCTGTGAGAGGCAGGAACTGTTTGCGAGACCAGTGTGCCGGCACAGACATCATTAAGGAGCCCAGCAGTCTACCAGACATCAGGGCAAGTGGGGAAGCTGTTCGTGCTCAGTCCTTTCCTCAGTTTCTGATTCCCCGAACTGAGCGCGGCAGGCCTTGCCCACTGGCGCGCCTTGTAATTCCCTCAGTGCCCACGTGGGGGGCAGGTGTCAGCACCTGTTTCCTGAGAAGGCAGGGAGGAGGGAGGCCAGGCTGGGCCCAGGCTGGATGGGGGCTCTGCCCCAGCCCTGCTGGACGCCAAGGGTTTCAAAATCCCTGAAAAGTTCATTGTGTAAGAAAATAATTTTGGACACAGGAGTTACTATCGGAACCCTAGACTGCCCTCTCTCCTGCCACAGCCGATTTTTAGAGGCTGTGATAATGTGATATAAGAAATGTACATGGTAGTTGTCTGTGTCTCCCGGAGAGAGCTCCTAAAAACTGTGTTAATTGTGTAAATGGTCCCAAGTACTAGGAGCATCTTTTGTCCTAATACTTGGTCTCTGAGCCCAGTTCCTGACACAAAGCCCCGAATATTTTCTGAAATGTTCTGGTTTCAGGATGGGGGTGGTCACCAGAAATATCAAGCCAGTCCTCTGGGGAGGGGACAGGGGCTGGAGATTGAGTTAACCGTCAATCTGAAACATCACTCAAGGCTGCGAAACTAAACCTCCATAAAAATCCCTGAACTACGGGAAATGATCTGGGTAGGGAGCCACCCGGAGGGGCTGGGAAGGTGGTGCTGGGGGAGGGCGCCAGGAGGCCATGGAGGCCGCGTGCCCTTCCCCCATGCCGTTGCCCTTGGCATCTTCCATCTCAATGGTCCCCAGTTGTGTCCTTCCTAATCAACGCGTGCAAATAAAAAGAAATGGTTTTCCTGAGTTCTGTGAGCCATTCTAGCATATTGAAAACGAGAGTTGTCATGGGAGCCCAGTTTACAGCCAGTTGGTCAGACTACTAGGGCAACCTGAACCCTCAATTCACCAGGAGTGGGGACAGTCAGGTGGGCTGGGTGCGTCTGGAAATGCCAAATTGATCGGGGCCTCCCCACCACCCCACCCTCCCGCTAACACCCTCCAAGTACATCCCTCTGCTTTTGGAACAGACGCCACAACCGACCATCAACCAACAGCAGGTCACCGGGCCCTGCCACATGCCGCCTGCACCCCCTTCCCTCCTGGGCAGCCACTCTCCCCTCCCTCAGGGCTCCTGGATATGGATCGGCTGCACGGGCTCCCTCTGTCCACAGGGAGGACTTCTGGAGTGCCCGCCCCTGGGTCTGGAATGGTCTGCATGCCGTCACCTCCGCGTCACTGCGCTGGCCGTGATTCCCTCTCCTTGGGCCCCTCTCCCAGGCGAGGTAACCATGTGAGTGGTGACTTGGTTACCGTGTGTGCCCCGAGCCCCAGGCCCACTCCAGGGGTGCAGGGCTGGTGCGCCCACCCTCTCGTCCCAGCAGGAACACGCAGCCTGCCCGGGACCGCGGTCCTGACTGACTTGTCGAATGTGTGACTGAAAGGGTGACATGAGTCCAGAATGGGCCTATGAAATGGGACGGAAGGGCCTGGGTCCTCCTGCCCTGGCCCCGGTTTCCTTATTGAGAAAGCACTGAGGCTTTGGGACCACAGAGGAGGCCCAAGCTCCAATGGAAGAGAACAAACCTCAGGAAGCACTTGAACCTGCTGGCTCCCATGTCCTGTGCTGGGGCCCGCAAGTTCAGGGGTGCGAGGGCCAGCAGAGCCAGCGCATGGCGGTCAAGTGCCTGCCAGCTGCCTGTGGGACATGCACCATGTGTGGCCAGGTCTTCCCATTTTTCAAAAGAAACCCGAAATCTCCACTATTACATAAAACTTTTCTATTTTAAACATGAACAGGTGCCTCTGGCAGGGTAACTCAGTTGGTTAGAGTGTTGTTCCAATATGCCAAGGTTGTAGGTTCGACCCTGGGTCAGGGTACATAGAAGATTGCCAATGAGTACACTAGTAAGTGGAAGAACAGATGGATGTTTCTCTGTCTTCCTATCCGTCGTGAAAATCAATTTAAAAAAATTAAAGTCTTAAGGATGAACAACCTATTCAATTTCCCACTAGCCAGACTTTTTTACTTGACAAGCCAAAGAAACTCTGCTTGCACCCCCAAGTAGGCAGGATGCAGGGCTGGATCCCGACACACAACTGTCCTTTGTCACCCATTTGGGAACCCCAACGAGAGCTGGGTTCCCACACCTTCACGCCAACACATCACCCTTGTTTCCAGATGCCTAGGCCAGCGTTGAGACAGGGTGCAGGTAAGAGAGCAGATAAGGCCCTGGCCCCTCTCCACCCTGGCTCACCGCCTGCTGGTTTCTGCCACCCCAGTCGAGTCCAGTGATCAAGCACCAGCCTCCAGCCTTTCCCAGCCTTTCCTGGCAGCTCCCTTACCTGCATCACCGTCCCCCTGGATTGCGCTGAGACCAGCTCCCTCACCAGCGCCACTCTGCTGTGCCCAAAAGTCACCTTCTCCACCAGGCCCAGCCAGCCCGTTGCACTGAAGATTAAGCTTCGAGCTCTGCCCACAGCCGGAGCCCTCCCTGCCCCGCCCCGTCCACCGGGCTAGCTCTCCCCTCGCCCTGGGCGCAGACGGGGGAGAGTGCACACAAGCCGGGGAACGCCTGAGGCCACCAGAAGCTAGGAAAGATGCCTCAACAGCGTCTGTCACAGTCCTGCCAACACCCCGCCTGGCTCCGTAGCCTCCAGGTCTGAGAGGGACTCAGGCCTCCCGTCAGTGGGACTTTATAATGGCAGCCCCAGGAAGTGAGTGCAGGGCTCGGAGGGGGGAGGCTGGCTGGGTGACTGCGGCGTGTGTCCCAGCCCACCACCCTGCTCCGGAAGCAGCGGGGGCTGGGAGGCCTCAAGGAAAGGCCTGGGGGCAGCCCGGGACACCGGCTCTGCCAGCATTACCCACCCCACGCCCCGTAGTGTCAGGGAGCCCGCTCTTCTTCTTTTAGGTTAGCCCGGGGGCCAACACAGTGACCTAGCCAACTGCCCGCTCCGCCCACCCCAACCTTCACCCTCCCTCCATTCTCCCCAACTCCCCCAGACACATGGCTCAGGGTCTGCGCTCCCTATTGCACGTGACCAGGCCCGGCCTAATGGGCCTCCATGCCTGGCTGGGGCCCTGCCTTATTCTGGGTTAGCCCACCTCTTTCCGCTCCTGGGGCCCCTCTGGGCTGCCCCCTGTGTCGGGGCATCAGGAAGCCTGATCCCACAGCCCCCTGCCCTGGACCTCCTCTTTTCAAGACAGACTTGCAGGGAGGGGCAGACAGAAGCTCAGGGACGATAAGACTGTCCTGCCCAGCTCGTCCCAAACAGGCCGCTGAGGCTCAAACAGTCAAGGGTACCATCTGGTGCATCTGCCCGCATAGCGTGCTGCCATTTTCAGGGAAATGATGCAACACAGCAGATCTCTGGCTTCTCCTGAGCACGTAGAGCTTCTGGCCAGACTAGACCCGTGTACACACGGGCAACCCCTGGCTGCCGGGGCCACAGTCCCCGCCACTGCCCTCTGCCTCAGGCTGGCAGCTGGGCTTTGACCCCTACCTCCTCAGCACTTTATGAACCGAGGTCACAGTCAGCCTCCCTCGGGGTCGGCACAGAGCGCACCCTTGCAAAAGGCTTCCAGATTGCACGTCTCGGGAAGCAAAGCACAGAGGGCCGGGCCTGACGCTGCCCTGAAGCAAGGCTGCGACATTCCCCCACAGTTAGTCCCAAGACGCCTGACCAAGCTCCCACAGGACACGGTTCCGGGGACGGGCAGCACCGTCCCCTGACGCAAGTCCCTTGGCCTTTCCGAGCCTCTGTTTCTCTTGCACTCAGTGGGCTGAGGAGAGCGTAGGAGGAGCATGAAACGAGAGACGGACTGCAAGGCACTCAGTGTCAATGCTGCACCAGGGCAAGCCTAGTCGTTCCCGTCCTCAGCAAGAACAGTGCCAACGAGCGGGACCTTGGACGGTGACCTCTTACCTGTGGCCACTCGTGTGGTTCCTCTCTGCAGGAGGATTTTCCCACACTCCTCTCCCAGTTGGGTGTTGGCCTTCAGGAGTCTGGGGGAGACAGGAAGGTGCTCAATGCCCGGGTCGGGAGGGGCCAGAGGGGAAGGAGAGGAGGGCAGCAGAAGGAAGGCCGCCCCACAAGGACGCAGGCATGAGTGGGAGCGATGGTCACATCTGTGGGGTCGGCGGGTGTTTCATTCCTTTACACAGCGAATATTTATAGAGCCCTGACTACCAGGCACTGACAGGTGCTGGAGGGACAGATGAGGGGAAGCAGCTGTGCTCGCCACCCGCAGACCTGAGATTACCTACAGGGCAGGGACGGGGCGCCAGGACAGGCGTCCAGAGGCCGTGCCAGCTGGCTGAGGTCCAAGGAGGCGGGGGAGGTGAGCAAGGTGCCTGAGAGAGGTACAGGCAGGAGCAGCAGAGGGAAGCAAAGGGCTGGAAGGAGGGGGCTGGGGAAGGGCAGGGAAGGGGGCCGGAGCGGGCGAGGAGACGGGCGAAGGGCGTGGTACACACTGGGGAGACTGAGAGGGAGAATCAGATAAAGTTGCGATCTTGCCAGGGAACCTGATGCCCAGGGTGGGCACAGAGAGAAACAGCTTCGGTGTGGATTTGCGACCGAAGCTTCCCCGGTGACCCCCATGGCACCCACCTCTGCAGAGTCTCCTCCAGGCTGAGCACGCGGGGGGGCTTCTTGGCAGCCGCGTCCAGCTGCAGCGTGTGCTCGATCGCTTTCCGCTTGTAGGTCAGCAGGTTGTCCACTTCCTAAGTATTCGAGGTGCTGCTGGGTGGGTGGGGCTCCCCGCTGCAGGCCAAGGGGCCCGGCCCCTCCCCCAGCCCCTGGCTCTGCCCTCAGCAGCCCTTGGCCATCCATGCCGACCCAGTGGACCCAATGACGGGTTGCACAGGCTCAGCCCTGCTACTTAGCCCCGGGGCCCCGAGCCTGATGTCTGCTTCAGTCACAGCCACCCCAGCCCTGCCTGTTGGGGGACAGCTGGAGGGGCAAGGTTGGTCGAAGGAGCAGAAAGGAACCCTCCAACAATGGTCAATTGCTTGCAAAGGTGCGGTATTAGGGTCCATAAGTCAGGAACCATCCGGGGTTGCCCATTTCATCTGGTTTAACGAATGCCACGACTCCAAAAGGCGGCAGGGAGACTGGCAGAGGGGGTGCCCTTCAGGGGTCTCCCGCTCACCCCCGCATGTGCCCCTTTCCAGCCCTGCTCACTCTGGGATGACCGGGACCTGTCCAAGGTCCACTGCCAGAGAGTACAGAAAACAGGGAGGAGCAAACACACAGATCGACCCCTCCACCTGGAGGGCTGCCCCCGCCCCGGCGGCACGGAGTCCTCTACTCAGTGGTGAAACAGATAAAAAAGCGAGAGTGGCAGCCACGCTTCTGACTGGGTCCTTGTAACGTCCCACGGATTATCTGCCTGTTCGTCCCACATTTACGGAGCACTTGCTGTGTGCCAGGAGTGGGCATGTGGTGATAGCAAGGACAGCCATGCTTCCTGCCCTCAGGGATATGTGGTCACTTCACACATGAGAAAAAGGAACTGATGGAGGAGTGGCGTCACAACGAGAAAGGCTGGGCACTCGGGAACAGAATGACAGGATGTTGGAGCTGGCCCCTGGGTCCCGTTCCCTGCGAACTCTGAGGGGTGTAAGCAGTAAAGTCTGTTTCCTGTGTTGGTGGGGGGCTCATTCCCCTCAACAACTGTCTTGCACCTCCTCCCGGCACCTCCGTATCCACCAAAAGAGACACTGTCCTGGGCCATACCTGGGACCTGGCTCTCCCCCAGGGACAGTCCCCATTCTTACATTAGTGTCCAGGGCAAACGGCAACGAGTCCAACATGATAAGTTCATCCACCATCTCAGGAAAGACACAGGAAAACTGACGGATAACAAAGCAGACAGAATGAGCTCTGGCTGGTGTGGCTCAGTGGATTGAGCACCGGCCTGCGAATCAAAGGGTGGCCGGTTCGATTCCCAGTCAGGGCACATACCTGGGTCACAGGCCAGGTCCCCAGTAGGGGACACATGAAATGCAAAGACACATTAATTTTTCTCTCCCTGTTTTTCTGCCTCACTTCCCTTCACTAAAAATAAATATATAAAGTCTTAAAAAAAAAAAAAAAGCTACCAGAAGACAGGATCAAGAGGAGAGAAACTGGAAGGAAAGGGACTGAGACTTGGCTCTGCTGTTTCCTGAAACACCTCTCAGGCTGGGGCAGGCGGGCTGACCCACAGGCCTGACCAAGACTCCTCTGTCCCTTCAGGGCACCTCCTCTCCTCTCCGCCTTAGTCCTCGCCCAGCAGCTGCTCCAAACCCCGGCAGTGGCGGGATTCTGGGGAACCTGTTCGCCACAGTGATTACTACTGCAGTCTACAAAGCGCGCTGGTGCTAGCCAACCAAACGCCCACTTGAGACTCGAGACTGAGAGGAGGCCCTTCCTGTCCCAGGTAACTCCCCCTCGTCCTCCGGTTCTCCCCGCCCCACATGGAGGAGCACCCACGGTGGCCAGAGGTGATCACTGCAGAGCCGTCCACTCACCATTCCACCCACGAAGCCACCTAGGAGACAAAACAACGGTGGCACTATATCCCCACCGCGCCCCTGAAATCAAAGCCCGACTAGGACTTCCTCCAGGGGCTGACCCACCGTCAGGCAGGGGGCCTGGCTCCCCTCTCCCACCAGTGGATGGGGCCCAGTATGTGGTGTCGTACTTGGGGCTCCCCCGCTGGGCCAGGTGGCCCCTTCATCAGACCTGACCACCGAGGAGGCAGATTTCCCACGTCAAATTGGGAGACGGCTCCCCAGTGTCCCCTGTGTGCCTCAGGGGAGCTGCCTGAGGCCCGGGGCCACAGGGTCCAAATGTCAGTGTCTAAGGAACACCCTCATCTCTCCTTAAAATCTGCAGAAGTGCAGCCGAAGGGAACCTGTCTCCGGACGCCTGCCCCGCCCTCGCCGCCCCCTGCAGGACCCCAGCCAGGTCCTGGACGAAGTGTACTCACCAAAACTGTGGCCCAGGATGGAGAAACGCTTCCACTTCAAGGCTGAAAGCACACACAGCCAGGTCGGCAGGGGCCCAGCCATCCCCTCCCTCGGTCTTGCAGGCCCTGGACTTGGGAATTCCCTCCCCAGCATCAGGGCCGCCCCTCAGGAGACCAGATCAGAGGGTGCCAGCTGCACTGCAGGGGTGGAAGCCACAGGAGGAAGCGCGCTCTTCTTGGCCGCCCTCCGCACCTCGCCCAGCGTCACCCGGGGTCCTGGCAGGACTGGGACCCGCTCCAGGCCCCTGCCAGGCCCCGTTGCTCGTGATACCGCACCCCACTCCAGCGGTGAGAGGGGGTGCCACCCCCCGCACGCTGGTACTCAGCCTCTTACTCACCCTCCACGACTCTTCGGGTCTCACTCACAAAGTTTTGAAAGTGACAGCAAAGACCTGGGCCGAAATGGGACGAGAGCCCATGACCCCTGAAGTCCATGGCAACGTAATACAAGTCTAGGACAGGGATGAGAGGGGAGGGGAAGGCGTCTAAGTCGGCCATCTCCTTCTCCTTGTCCCCCTGTACCCTGCCCCCTGGCGGTCAACTTCCCTCAGCCCCAGCCCCACCTCTGGGGAGAAGAGGGATGAGTCTGTCGAAGGAGTTGGCGTTGTCCAGCCAGCCGTGCAGGCAGAGAACCGGGCGGCCCTTGGGGGAGCCCCAGGCTTTGGCTGCAATGTGGCCCCAGGGCACAGCCAACTTCAGCTCTGAGAACAGACCTGAAAGACAGAGCAACGCTCTCGGTTGAGGCCAGCACGTCCCAGGCCCTCATGGGGCCCCGAGTGTTCAGGGCAGCTGAAGCCCTCCCCAGGGGCCCGGATCCCCGCGCGGCCCCCAGGTAGCTACGTGGAGAGAGCCAGGCGCGGGTGTGGGGACCCCCGAGGACAGAAAGATACACAGGTGAGGGAAGCCTTGGGAGGGCGTCACCACGGAACTTTCTAGAATAGCCTGGGGGCTTGCTAGGTCTGGGCTCTGACGCTTGCTGGCTGTGTGACCTTGGGCAAAGTTAACAAAACCCAGCATCGGTTTTCTTTTTTGTAAAACTGGAGTGAACAGAATTATAATTGCCACGTTTTCTCGGGCTTTACTGAGGGCGAACTGAGTTATTCCCGTTCCCCACATCTTCCCAGTTACGTGGACCAGCATTTTCCCCTGTCGCAGAACAGGAAACTGAGGCACACGGAGGGGCAGTACAGGCCCAAGGTCGCGCAGGGAGGGAGATCTGGAGCGACGATCTGGCGCAACCCCAGCTCTGACACCGGGCACCACGCTGTGTCCTACTCTGGTCAGGGCGCCAACTCACTGTCCACATCTGACCTACCCCGCTGTCGCTCCCCGCGCGGTTGCAGACCCGCACCCCCCAAACGCCGGTGCGCTTCCTACCCTGTCTGCGGCTCCCAGAACCCAGAGGGGCCACGTTCGACCGTGTCCCCCTCCGCCCCACTTCCGCCGGACGTGCTCAGCCCGCTCCCAACTGACCGCGAAGTAGATTGGACCCCAGGAGGGCGGCGGGCACGGCGATCGTCCCTCCGTCAGCCTTCCTGACCCCCGAGACCCCAAGTAGGTGAGTGGGCGGGGTGCTTCTCCCTCCCACTCGGGTCTGAGAGGCCCTGAACAAGGCGTCCTCACCCATAGCTCGCGTCCCTTCGTTGCACGGAGGCTGTCAGTATTCGCCAAAACTTCCAGACCAAGACCTAAAACGCCCGCGTCCTTGGCCTCACAGGGCGGCCCCGCCACCTCGGCCCCGCCCACAGAGACCCCGCCCTACCCCGAACCCACCCCGCAGCTCCCCCGCCCCAGCCAGCCAGCCCCGGCCCTTCAGAGAACCAGCCCCCTGCCGCTCAGTCCCCACAGAGGCGCCCGGCAGGGGGCGGCGCCCGGCAGGGGGCGGTGCCCGGCAGGGGGCGGCGCCCGGCAGGGGGCCCCGCCCACACCGGGGCCCGGACCGCTGCCGCCCGCGCCCCCACTCCCACGGAAGCACTAGCCCGCCGCACCCTGAAGCGCCCACGCTACGGCCCGGGCTCCGCCCCGCCGGCCGGAGGACGCCCGCGAGCCCCGGGCGGGGCCCGCCCCTCTCCGCTCTAGGTACCCAGAGGCCCCGCCTTCATTGGGAGGCGACCCCGCGCCCGCCGCCCTGAGCGGAGCGGCTGGGGAGTTACGGGTCGCTGTTCAAACGACGTCCAAATTTTGGGCTCCATCCAGGCGGTGTCGCAGAGAGTGCAGAAGGCTCTGCTGGACCCGCGGGCGGTGGTAGCCCGACCTCCGCGCTGTGTCCGTGACCGCCGCCCACCTCCGTGCGGGACCAGAAGCTGGCAGCGGGGTGGATCAGCCTTAGGGAGCCGTGCACACGCTGGCCCTCAGCGGCCTGCGCCTTAGGGCTAAAGGTGGCGTGACTTCTGTCTAATGGTTTCACGTACCCCGTTCTGCATCCACCGTGTTCTCACCGCGTCCTGGGGGAGCCCTGGCAGAGCCAAGTTTGATACTGTTGTGTGGTGGAGAAACTGACGTTGCTGACCGATCCCAGAGGCGGAGGGACGATAGGCCACGTCATGATGGGGATGCCTGGGTCCTAAACAGCGGAATAAAGGCACTGAAGTGCGCCCTCTGAGTCCCTGAAGGAGGCAAGGCTAGGACAGATAAAGAAAATACTTCCTGCTCATTCAGCACCATTTGCTAATTGGAAGGTGTGGGCGTGAATTGGTGTGTCCCTCCGAGATCACAGTCCAGCGGGCCTGCGGGCTGGGGACAGAGAATTCTCCCTGGGGCGTAACAGGGGAGCCAGGTCCTGAAGACAGGGCGTGGGGAGGAAAGTTCCAGGGGGAGCCAGGATGCAAGGCGAGTGGGTGGTGGCTGGGAACCTGGGGAAGGCGCTGAGTGCGGGCTAAGAAGTTGAGGCCTTGTTCTGAGCAGAGGGAGTGGGGAGGCTTGGAACTGGGGGTGAGGAGGCAATTTGTATGAGGGGCTCATGCACAGTGGTGTCCATTGGTTCCAGAAAGGCTTCGGATTCCTCGGGGAGCTGTGAAGGGTGTCACAGATCCTGGGGTAATAGGGCAGCGGGGCCGTGACCCCGGTGAAGAGGCTCTTTCTTCAGCTGTGGGGACGCGCTGCCACATCTCAAGGATTATGCCACATTTAGACCAGGCAGGAGGCTGCAGCCTGTCCTCTGGGTGGCGGCCTCTAGCCCATCTTAACCTCAAATTCCCCCCTGATCCCACAGGCCCCCTCCACACACGGGGGACACCCGCTCCATCCTCTGTGTCCCTCTGTTACCAGACAGAAGCTGGGCCTGGAGCGGCTCTGCTTCAGGCCGCCGCCGCCGTGTGGCTTCTTGGTTTCGTGTCGGAAAGATTTCACAACATGAGTCCAGGTGATTTTGAGAGCGTGTTTATTAAAGCTGGGGTCAGTGAAACATGGATGTGTTTAGCACCGAAGAAGCAACAGGAGAGTGCCTCAGTAGGGCGGCTTTGGCTTTCTGCATGTTAGAGGAAAAAATGTGAGCCTAGGTGGGTTGCTCTGGCTCACTGAGAAGTCAGAGGAAAGGGGCCTTGGGCGCAGGTTCAGGGTGAGCCCAGGACCCGACGCCATTGCCCACCGCTCCCCTGGTGGTACTACAAGTAATAGGGTATTCACATAACTGCACATAATCTTCCCACAGGTTAGTTATTCATGACCAAGCGGAAAAGAAACTTTACAGAAGAGAAAAGTTGGGGGACATGTTCAGAACTTGGTGACCCAAACCAACAGTTCTTGACTCAATGAAAGCAACTCTCCTGCCAAACTGGCCCTTCTCCTTCAAGTGAGAGTCAAACGGCAAGCACTCGCTGGGCCGGGGGATCCTTAACTCAGGTCATTGCTGTCATTGCTGGGGAGGGGTGCAAGGACTCCTGGGGGGACAACTGTTACAGCCACGCTGTCTTCCTGTCGCCTCCGCTTCGGAAGGGAGGCCGCTTTCTCTCCTCCTGCCAGATGTCCAACTGCGTGGGATCCTATGGTTCATCTGTCCTCCAACCCTTATGTTCTCAGATTCATCAGAGAGCCATTTTCTGAGTTGACAGTTGCTTGAGACCACATGCCGGGACCTGGAATAGAGAGACATGTCAGGTGTCCCTGTCATGGGGCAGGCCATGATGGCGGGAGGGAGAAGAGGGCACAGGTTAGAGAGATGCAGGAGTAGAACAGGCAGGGTCTGGGCCGGCTGAGGAGTGGGGAGCCGTTTGGGAGAGGAGGCATCAGGCTGACTCCCAGGATCCTGACTCCAGGGAGAGGGTGGGAACTGGTGTGTGCTGCCGATGGGGGTGAGGGAAGGAAGGGGCGGGGGCTAAAGGTACACTCCATTGAGCCCGAGGCTGCAGGGGGGTTACTCTCAGAAGCTGTAGTGAATGTATATCTGGAATTGTAGTAACGGGGTGGGAGGAGCCCCATCGGTGTTGCCCCAAGCATTAGGTGTGTCTCAAAGAGCTCCCGAAAGCCCCCTTGTTGTTGCTTCTGTCCTAAGAGCTGTGTCAGTTTCTTGCAGTCACTAATTTTGCAGTCTTTCTTAGTGTACTCTTCCTTCCACGCCAACGTTTTTTGTAACCAATTTGTCATACCATATTCCCTCTGTTGAAATAGTACCTACTGTTCCTTTTTGTTTAATGAACTAGAGACTGGCTGATACCGTTACATATCCACCAGATTGCAAAGTATGGGGAAGGAGATGGGGCGATCAAAACTGCTGTTGGGGCCCTGGCTGGTGTCGCTCACTGGATTGAGTGCCCGCCTGCAAACCAAGGGGTAGCAGGTTTGATTCCCAGTCAGGGCACATGCCTGGTACAGGATCCCAGTAGGGGGCATGCGAGAAGCAGCCACATGTTGATGTTTGTCTCCTCTTTTCCCCTCCTTTCCCCCCTCTCTCAAAATAAATAAATAAATAAAATCTTAAAAAACAAAAAAGAAATTGCTGGTGGGGGTTGTAAATTGTGTCACTTGGAAAGAGTTTGGCATCAACTATTAAAATTGAAGATTATCCAGCAATTCCTCTTCTAAGCATAAAACCTAGAGAAGCTGGTAAGATATGTGTACAAGTGGTATTGTTTGTGAAAGCCAAAAGCTGTTGTGAGCAAAGGTGCTGTGAACATTGCACCTTTCACAAGTACAGTTTCATGGGTTTGAGTCCTGCTTTCTGTCCTTTTGGATATATGCCCAGCAGTGGAATTGCGGGGTCAAGTTGTACTTCTGAGTTTAAACTTTTGAGAAATGGCCAAACTGTTCTCCACAGTGCTTACGCCATTTTAAATTCCCACCAGCAACACACAAGGGTTCCAATTTCTCCACATCCTTGACGACGCTTGTTATTTTTCTCTTTTCGGTCATAGCTCTCCTTTAGGTGTCAGTGGCATCTTGTGTGATTTTGATTTTGATTTCCCTGATGGCTAATGATGGTGAGCACCTTTTCTTGTGTTTATTGGCCACTTGTATATTTTCTTTGGAGAAATGTCAAGTCCTTTGTTTTTAAATTGGTTTGTTACTGTTGCTGTTCTTGTCATCCTTGGGCCTATGTTTAGGAGAGGAAGTTAAAAAGAAAAAGGAGCTGTGATCAGACCATCATCCATCCCAGCAGCCTAAATTGTGGGAAAAACAACCAGATGTGCAGAGAGCGGAGGTGAAGGAAATAGGCTGCCCTCAAGGAGCCCTGCAGGGGGTGCGGTGGGGCGCCACCCAGAATCCGGCTAAGTCTGAGGCTCCATTCCTCCAGCTGCCAGCGAGTGTCGCTGTGACAGCTCACAGCTGAGTTCTTGCCCGAGACGTGTCCCTTCCCTGAAGGGAGCTGCACTTCTCAGGGCGATCCACGGCCAGTGACACGTCCATGCAGGGCTGCAAAAGGCTGGCTCCCTTCTCTTGATTCAGAACAACTCTGAAGGACCGCCCCAGCTCCTGAGCGCCCTATGGAATTGGCTTTCATTCCCAGATGCATCACAGTTCAGCTTCAGCCCAGTCCAACTTCTCTTAACTCCCTCCGGGATTGGTACAGCATAGCACTGCCCAGTAAGCTTTGTGCATGCGCATCTCAGAGACTCCGTTTGTTTCCCAGGGAACCCAACCTAAAGCAGGAGGCTGACAGTTCGAAGGGGCTGGGGGCCTAACAACTATGGTTGCTATGATGATGCCAGTAATTACAGCCAGTGCGCACCTCTTCTTCCTTGCTGGGCCTCACTCAATTAATGTTTACGAAATGAAAGACAGTCCGGTGGAAGTCAGAGTAGTAATCAATTCGGCCTCGAGGCTAGCAGGGCAGGTCCGGGCAATGTTGTGAGGTCAAGTTTGGCCTTGGCACCTCGTCTTTCTTTCGGAATCTCCTTCACGCAGGATTTTCCACTACCCTGAAGACGAGATGGGAAGTGCCCCATCCAGCTCTGCCTCATTCAACGGACTGAGCGTCCACGCGAGCCGGGCTCCAGATCGCTCATCCTTCTCACCGTCGCAGTGTCCTGGCCTGGGTCCCATCCATTCCAGTCCCCGCGACCAGCGAAGCACACGTGCAGGAACTCCCGCCAGCGGCACCTTAGCCATGCTCCCTCCCACTGGGTTCCGGTTGTTTTCGTTTATTGAGTTTATTGGGTCGACACTGGTTAATAAAATTATATAGGTTTCAGGGGTAAAATTCTATAGTACGTCGTCTGTGTCTTGTATGGTGTATTCGCCACCCCAAAGGGCTCCTGTTTCCGGTCTTCAGGAGTCCCCTTAGGCGGGACAGCAGCTTGCTCC